ATCTGTTCACCATCAACATTGCGTGCAGCAGCAACCACAGCCTCCCAGACACTGTTCAGAGAGGTGTACTGTTTTCCCTCCTTGTAAATCTCACATTTGATGATGGACCACAGGTTCTCAATGGGGTTCAGATCAGGTGAACAAGGAGGCCATGTCATTAGTTTTTCTTCTTTCATACCCTTTCTTGCCAGCCACACTGTGGAGTACTTGGACGCGTGTGATGGAGCATTGTCCTGCATGAAAATCATGTTTTTCTTGAAGGATGCAGACTTCTTCCTGTACCACTGCTTGAAGAAGGGGTCTTCCAGAAACTGGCAGTAGGACTGGGAGTTGAGCTTGACTCCATCCTCAACCCAAAAACGCCCCACAAGCTCATCTTTTATGATACCAGCCCAAACCAGTACTCCACCTCCACCTTGCTGGCGTCTTGAGTCGGACTGGAGCTCTCTGCCCTTTACCAATCCAGCCACGGGCCCATCCATCTGGCCCATCAAGACTCACTCTCATTTCATCAGTCCATAAAACCTTAGAAAAATCAGTCTTGAGATATTTCTTGGCCCAGTCTTGACGTTTCAGCTTGTGTGTCTTGTTCAGTGGTGGTCGTCTTTCAGCCTTTCTTACCTTGGCCATGTCTCTGAGTTTTGCACACCTTGTGCTTTTGGGCACTCCAGTGATGTTGCAGCTCTGAAATATGGCCAAACTGGTGGCAAGTGGCATCTTGGCAGCTGCACGCTTGACTTTTCTCAGTTCATGGGCAGTTATTTAGCGACTTGGTTTGTCCACACGCTTCTTGCGACCCTGTTGACTATTTAGAATGAAACGCTTGATTGTTCGATGATCGCGCTTCAGAAGCTTTGCAATTTTAAGACTGTTGCATCCCTCTGCAAGATATCTCACTAGTTTTGACTTTTCTGAGCCTGTCAAGTCCTTCTTTTGACCCATTTTGCCAAAGGAAAGGAAGTTGCCTAATAATTATGCACACCTGATATAGGGTGTTGATGTCATTAGACCACACCCCTTCTCATTACAGAGATGCACATCACCTAATATGCTTAAATGGTAGTAGGCTTTCGAGCCTATACAGCTTGGAGTAAGACAACATGCATGAAGAGGATGATGTGGACAAAATACTCATTTGCCTAATAATTCTGCACTTCCTGTAGATGCAAGATTGCATAGACCAAGGATGTCAATGTGGAGAGTAATTACAGGTTTCTGTGAACATGTTTGTGCAGTTTACCCATCTGTTTATTGTGATTGACGGTCTCATCCATAAGAATGTATCATGTATAAGGGAAGTTTGTGATCAAAAAATGTCAAAATATGAGATATTAACCTCTCAAAACATACATTAGCAGAAAAGAAATTCCATCTGAAATTGCAGCTGTGTTTTGACAGAAACGTCACTTTATTTCTGACACATTTTTAACGTAGATCTACATAATTAATGTTTGGGATGGGGAGGGAAGGAACATTTTTGAGATTCTGGTGCTATTTGTGAAGTGAAATCTCAAGGTTTTGATGCTTTTAAAGTCCGTTTCAGATGATGTCGAAGTGTTAGAGGTGACTTGAGAGTCAGTGTTATCAGGGCGGAAGTGGCTAAATATAGCAGTCATTTGAGGAAGATTGGGAGCTAACATAATGTAGATTATAACCCCATCAAAGCAACAGAATGTAGATTATAACCCCATCAAAGCAACAGAATGTAGATTATAACCCCATCAAAGCAAGAATGACACACTCATGTGCTCATGTTCGAGATGACTAGTATTGCGGTTTAAATGATCTGCCAGGTTGTTTTTGATGGACGTGTGTGTGTGTGTGTGTGTGTGTGTGTGTGTGTGTGTGTGTGTGTGTGTGTGTGTGTGTGTGTGTGTGTGTGTGTGTGTGTCACATCCAGTAGGTGGTAAATGAGCTGCTGGACATTTTTCATAAACTGCCAGCTTCTGTACGCCTCATTCAGAGCATCTTCGTCGAGGTCAGCTCATAAAACTCTCGCAGAGCCAATCTTTGCTCCACTTTGTAAGATTGCGTGTTGACTCTGCCACACTGCAGCTCTCCTGTCTCTTTGGGGATTTGTGATTTTCCACATAGCTGGAGAAGAATAAAGCTTATCTTTTCATATTGCTCTATTTGCTGATGCTGGTGGTAGTTTTGCTGGGTGCTAAGGTTCCTTTCACATCCAATGGCAGCGTCTCGTCTCATATTTTTCTGGTCATTGAATTTAAAAAAGAGGTGAATAATTAGTTTTCTGCCAAGTGGGGCAGAAATAATGGAAGGAATACATTTTAATGTACTTTTTCCTCAACAACGTATTGCCTTAAAGCCATGCTCTCAGTGCTGCAAATACACAATTGTCCCTTTCGCTTTGTTCTCTCTCTCAATAATGATGTAAAACATAAACACAATTTGTAGCTGTGACACGATTTCTGAATTTAGTCTTAACTTTATTTTAAAACCATAAAACATGTTTTCTGGTGGATAACCCTTCATACATGCTGCCATTATTTTAAAAAAAAACACCAAATGAACACACTTCCCAGCATTAGTAACTTTACAACCCACCCTCTAGCAGCAAGTCATAATTTCCTGTAAAATCTTATGAGATTCAGGCATTGTTGTTGATTAATTTGGTCTTCTCTACTCCACAAAGTTGCCAGTTCATAAATGTGTTTACACACGGCTCTCTGTTGCCACAGCATTTCTATTTGGTTGAGATCTACATGTTGGTGAAAGCATTGCAGAACTTCATTTTATTTTTCTGCCTCTGTTGCTGGTTTGCAGCTTTATATGGAACAATTATTTTGTTTTGTGACCCAGTTTTGTCCAGCCTTTACCTGCTGGAGACGAGTGCACCTCTGCCATAATGACTGCAGGGTCAAACAAATTGAGGCCAAATGATCAGTGCCCCATTGCTGTGGGGGGTGAGGTGTGTAAGATGTTTCTGCTGACAGAAAAATGTGGTGCCGTGCTTTATAGTCAAACATCCCTGCTGTTGGTCTCATGTCTCATAAGAACTCTGCTCTAGACTTCTGGTGATTTAACCTTTCAGATACAACTTTGCACACCTAAACTACACTGCCATGATCTCTAAAAGAAAGTGGTCTCTACTCCCACTATCAACTATACCAGTGCACCTCAACTGGCAGTCCATCAGTGTGTTTACATGCAGCCAGTAACCCTTTTAAAACCCGAATATTCACAATAACCCGGTTCTGCAGGTCCGTGTAAACACCGCCAGAAACCCCGATATGCTCATAACCGGGTTTTTAAAAACCCGGTTACTACACCTGGGGTAACCCATTTCTAACCCGAATGTTTGGTCGTGTAAACGCATATCGGGATGTCCTCATCAAAGCGTGTGCTCTGTGCATGCTCTGTTCGCAACGAATCTTGGTCTTTTGAGTAGCGAGACGTCTTGTATGCGCCAGAACTCCGGAAGTAAACAACAAGTTGGTAGCAAAATGGCGAGTCGCGGCACAGCACCACACTTTGAGTGACGAGGAAACTAAAGCGCAAACAAACGCGGTCGCTATCTCTCCCGAACTGGGAAAAATGTTGTTGTTTTCACGGATACCGGAACAAGAAGAACCGGAAATTACGCATATTGCGTCTGGACGTAGTCCATACGTCCTGACGCTACCCCAACGTCCGCATTTACATCGGGTTATGCAAGTTAGAGGTAACTCTTTCTATTTATGCTTGTAAACGGGTTATTCTGATCAACTCAGAAACCCGAATCCCGACCTTAACCCGATCATGACCCGGATATTGGCTGCATGTAAACGGACTGCATGGCTCACATATGGCCCGCCAGACCTTTCCACCTGGCCCCCCAAGCCTTTGGGACTTAGAACTTTAGAGGTATCAGCTAAGGGACATATTATGCAAAACTCTCCTTTTACATCCTTTTGTTCTGCCGCGTAAGTCTCTACTGCAGAGGTATTCAATCTTTGTCCTGGAGGGCTGGTATCTCACATGTTTTAGTGGTTTCTCTGCTCCACCACACATGATTCAGTGCAGCAGCTCATCAGGCTCTGCAGAAGCCTGTTAATCACCTGCTGATTGAAACCAGGTGTGTTGAATCAGAGCTGAAACTAAAACTTGCTGTATACTGGACCTCCGGGCCTGGAATTGAATACCTCTGCTCTACTGGCTCTATAAACACTGCAAACAGGAAAAAGATATCCATCCATTTTCTGTCTGTGTTTCCTTTATTTATGTATGTATGTATGTATGAATGAATGAATGAATGAATGAATGAATGATTTATATGTTTAAAACGAGCTGTTTCAAAAAGTCCCAGTTTGTGACATCAGAAACTGGTAAATTGGCATAGAACCACCACTTGTTGAAGAGGGCTAGCAGCAGCGCTACTCTGAGCACCTCCAGGATATTGGAGCTTTTCAGCTTATAGCAGCTTGAGCAGGGGATGGATGGGCGTGGACAACTCCAGTTGGATATCCTTAAGTGACAGAGCCCTGAAACGGCTGATTATGGAAGGTACAGAAACTGCCCAGAATAAAATCACTTCATGTGAGACGGCTTAGTGCAAAGAACTTCATAAACTTTAAAGGATAAAGAGGAAGACCCATTCTCCCTCCTTATCTTTGATCTTTGTTCACTGGCTACCGAGCACCAATTAGTGAGTGGATGACAAGTAGAAGGTTCAGCTTTTGAACTTCACAAACATGTTTTACATCAACCGTAGAACAATCATAAGACAAAAAGTCACAATATGTTCACTTTAACATTTGTCACTAAGCCTATTTTTTGCAGCTATTTTAAATTATTTTTTAAAGATGAGGGATAAATGAGTGAGCCATCATGTGTTTAAAAATGTAATCATGTTCACCTGTGTTCTACACCTGGTTTTCCTTTTTCTCTCATGTAGACATGCAGCGCTGGCTGTGTTGAATGAAAATATAAACATGAAGAGAGCAGCTGACCACCAAGTGTCCATCTGTTGGCCAACTTTCCCTTCTGCTCTCCCGTTCCAGGTTGTCCCTTCTGGAAGAGTGGCGCGGCGTACGAGATGAAGCGCTGTCGGAGCTCAGTGGGATCAAAGGTTGCATCTTCGTCCACGCAGGAGGATTTATTGGTGGCAACAAGACACAGGAAGGAGTTCTGGAGATGGCCAGAAGGACCCTCCAGTCTGCTGCCCAGTCTCCAGCAAATGGAAACAGCTGATTATTTTTTTTAAAGCAAATGTTTGCTAATATTTGAAGATAATAAACATCAATGTGTTGGTTTTATTATCATGATTATATTGTAAACTTGTGATAGTTTTGTCCACCTGTCTGAGTGTATCTGATGGCTTTCATTCGCAGTAGAAACCTGCTTTGGATTGCATTTTGTAATCAGGATTAAATGTAAAAATAATCTGACATTTTGTCCACCTCAGTTCTAATCTTCCAGTTTCAGCTCAGTATCATTAATACGGTGCCATCTGATGGACCAACGCCAGCATTTTCAAAGCCTGTGAATACCACAGCCTTGCCTTTCAGGAGATGTTAACACACACCTGGACCGGGGTTCCTCCTTCCAGGCCCAGTGTTTGACATTACCCACGTCACAACAAAGAGATTCAGAGGCTACTTCTGCTGTCTCCCAGATCAAAGCGTCAGTAATGAACCTGATTAAATCAAAGAAATTCAATTTCCAAATGCCGCAGAGAGGTGCCCCTTGTGGCAGCCGACGCTGTACACAAGGTTACTGACGCAGTCAGGTTCCTGGTAATGATGTTGGTGGATGTGTGTCACATTTTCTCATTAATTCTCCGTTTTCTTCCCCCAAGCTCTGCCTGCAACTTCATCATTATTGCGTTTTCCATGAAGCCGACCTTCCAACTATCTAACTCCCAGTATTTTTTCCGTCATTGCTGGTGTTGAAGTGCAAATGCCATTGTATGCAAAAATAATTCACATGTTGCTCTCAGCTGCTCGTGTTGCTCTACATCATTTAATGTGTTCAGTGGAGCAGACTGCTCAAATTCCTAATTCTCAGTCCGTTTACCCTCATTTATCATTTGAAATCAAGCATTTTATCCAACCTCCACTTGCTCATAAGTAGAATAATTACATGCTTGTAAAATGGAGAATTTACACACAAGATGGGTGGCCCAAACCATGCAGCTTCTAGTCTAGCACCTAATTTACTTTGCTCTTTCGCTTCGTATGTGCAAGCATTGTTTCACTTTTAGCTGAGAGTGCATAGGATGTTTTCAGTAGCTTAGGAAATGCACTCTTGCATCTTGTTTGTATTCTTCCTGTGTCTCTCACACACACACGCACAGATACACTTTTTTTTTGCTGGATTTGAGCCAAAGTCCCAATCTAATCTGTGCACTTTAGTGACAGCCTTTCATATCTCTTGGGCCGTAGTTGCTGCCAACTGATGTTGAAATCTTTGTAAAGATTTAACGAAAATTATTTTCACTGTTTACCTCTAAACAAGGGAGGACACAGGCCAAATGATCAGGGGGAGGTCGCTGATGTCCATCCAGATGTTAATAGATTTTATTTTGCCGTTTTTTACACAAATTATCTCAGGCCCATTCACAATCAAGAGCACTTGCTTGATTGCAGGAAATCACTCGGTGCTCCAACTAACAGAGAAGTATTCTCTAGTAGGCACATTTCTTTTCCTTTTTAAGGGAAGTCTTGTATTTCCTGCTAGAACAAACCACTTCGACACAAATTTTAAAGGTGTGAAACACTGACAAGCATCTTTTAAATGATTATTTCTGATTATAATCGGTCACTCAGCTTTTCATAATCTCCTGCATTAGCTTCTGATAGAACATGGACAGAAAAATGCTAGTATTTGAAAAGCCTGACAGATCTATGTCACACTCATGGACTCGCCCATTTTTATTTGTGACGGGGAAGACTGTTGTTGGTTTAGTGTCCAGGAAACCATGAATGTTTCGACTAGTAGAAGCTAACCATTTGCATTAGCAACTCCACCACACAGCAGAATTCCCTCTGGCTTGTGTTATTTGTGGAGATAAAACATCAGTGTTCCAAGCAGAGTCAGTAGTAGTTGTAATGCTGTTAGCCAGTCAGAGGTGAGGTGTCCATATCACTCCAAATCCTGCATCTGAAGCTCTCCTCTGATGTGACATTCTGCTAGTTACTGAAACAAGCGCATCTGAGTGTCCCCCACCCCCCAGGTATGACTTGCAAGGCATTAATTCCTATTTATAGACCACTGCAAAATAAACAAGTGTCCCACACCTTTAAATGTGTTGTTTTGTCAGTCAGGAGGATTTTCCTATCTGGACGCAGCTACTGACCAAACTGTAGCGCTATTCTGAGAAAAACTCTAACCCTGGCAAAAACCAGTTTGCCAGTGAATGATGAAGTGAACAAGCAGCATGACTAAACACCAAAACACTTTTGAATAACAAAAATGTGAAGCAGATTTCTCCAAGTAGATATCTTTTCTCTGCCCTACTGCCACTCCTGTTTTATTCAAGCTTCCTCCACTCTTTACTCTCTGAGGTGCTCGACCAAGACAAACAGAAAAAGCCGAACTTCTTCACATCACTGCAGTCAGGTTCTTCAGTGGAGTTCACACTGTCAACATGGTCACAGATAAACTGCTTGTGGCTAAGTGCATCTCTCTCCTCCGAGATACTCCCCGATAGACACCTCTGATTCCTCCTTTGTTTCTCTTCTTGATCTCTCTCTCTCTCTCTCTCTCTCTCTCCTCTTGCAAAGTTAAATTCTCACCCATCTTCACACTATTCGTTCTCAGTTCAGAATCCACAAAACCAGAAACATTTATTTATTTTTAGGGAGCATGTGATTTTTTTTCTTTCTCCCAGCCATTATGCTTTCTTATTATGTGCCTCTTTTGTTTATCTGGAAAACTACAAAACTCATCTGGTCCGAACAAACATGGAGACAACATGTCATCAAGGGACGAAGACTGGAAAATAAGCCTGGAAAGATGAGAAAGAGTCATTAGACTTGTGGCTTTCTACACTATATTTAGTCAGGGGTAGAATTGTTATGGATTCTAGTGAGCTGATGGGAGTAGGATAGGCTGAGAAAGGAAGCTGAAGGATATATGAGGTGCCATCATGTCTGTCGGATCTGTGCTTTTCCCTCTGAGGGCTCTCCTGTAGATGGACCGATAAAGTTGCTGCTTATGGTTGAAGATAAGAGATAGCAATGGTCTTGGACTAAGGTAAAACCCCATAAATAACCTTTCTCTCCAGTATGTACCTGATTCCTTTTTACATTATTCAGATTGAAATTTCACGTTGATCTATGTGAGACCCAAGGTTGACAGGTGTCCTGGCTCTAGCTTGTAAATTAAAGCCCTTGCCTCCATGCCTGTCCAAGTCCATCTTCATTTTCTACTTGATGTATAGTGATTCTCCAAACACTGGCACAGATTAGGTCCCTCTGCTTGACCGCCTATAAACAAGGACAAGCAGGAATCATTAATATAGGCACATCTTTCCCTTTTATTGATTTAGCTCCATCTATCAGTGCTGCTGTAACAGCTGGGCATGTTTTTCTTAGGAGTTCATTGTCTGAGTAGTCCGTGTTGGAATTGATCCAAAGCATTCAGGTCTATTCTCGGTAGCTCAAAACAATAAAAGTTATAGTTTTGTCATTTTATTAAAAACTGAAGAAATGAATAGAAAATATTATATGTTCATGTTTTGTTGTAGTGGTTAGTAGACAGGTTACAGTCAATTGATGTCTTTGTGAATGTTCAATTTTCCCTCTGAGTTATTGTTCAGCTTACCTTGAAATATGGAGCTAATTAAAGGGGACATGCTATGACGTTATTTTTTTGGAGGTATAATAGTTCTATGTTCGATACCAAACATGTTTATGAAGTTCTTTGCAGCCTTTCCCTCTCATGTAAAGTGATTGCCGCATTTATATTCTTGACATTTTCATTACCTTCCTGAATGAGTCTTTTCAGGGCTCTGTGACTTTAGGAAAATGAGCTGGCATTAGCCACACCCAGCCACCTTCACTCAGGCTGCTATAAGCTGAGAAGCTCTGGGAGGTGCTTAGAGTAGAGCTGCTGCTCCTCCAGCAGCAGCTTTCTCTTGCATGTGAGAGGTGGTTCTTTTCTAATTTCCCTGTTTGTGATGACACAAACAGGAACTTTTGGAAAACTTCTCCATACAGGTACATAAGTCCTCAAGCCAAACACTGATAGAAGATGGAGGAACTGCTATTTTTTCATGTTTTCAAGTTTTTATAGTCAGAGACCCACTTGACAACACAAAAGGTGAGTTTTACAAAAGTCCCTCTAACATATAAAAAGTACAGTATAGTCTGGCCACAACCCATAGACAAGATCTCAGTCGTAGGGCGGAATTTACGATTGTCTTTCAAATAGTCTCTGCAAGCTTTTGAACAACAGATAACGTGAAGTACTCGTCAATACAAATGTCAGTCAATGGGTCAATCCCCCGTACACGCCAATACATCCTGTTTCTAAGACTTAAGTACCTCTATCTACTCTTGACTCAATGAAAAGCCCAAGTCTAAATAATTCAACATCGATGCCAAAGCCATTCCAAATGAGACATTGCCATCTTTGTTTTGCTCAATGGCAGTAACGTCCCGCCCACCTAAACGATAGAGCACTGTGATTGGTAAGACACAATACTGGTGGAGGTTTCAATGTTGCATGGCTAGACCAATATGCAGAGCAAACTCATTCCATCTAGATTTCTTGGCTACCTCATGTGCAAGAGAGAGTTGCTAGAAGCAGCGACTCTACTCTGAATCCCTGCCAAATATCAGATTGTCTCAGCTTATAGTAGCCTCTAGGGGCGCACTAAAGAACTCAGACAGCTAGAGTGCACACAAAGAAGTCTAAAAGTATCCCAGTCCCAAAAGTTTCATCAAGTCTCTTAAGGCAAAGCTATCCAGCAGCAGTGGAGGACAACAGACTAAATCTGAGCCTCCCCAAAAAACGCTGGTTTTTAAAGACTGGATCATCACAGCCTAATAAATTCCAGCTGGAATTATGGCAGGAAGCTTCTGGCTAGAGGGCCGCTCTCCATTGTGCTGAACCTCCAGTTGGGGATCTAATAGGTAGCCTCTGCTGGGGGCCGCTCTCCATGGTACTGAACCTTCAGCAGCAGGAAACCATCCTGAAATGGCCCAGTGGGCCGGTGGACTTCTCATATGGGGACTGCAACTCACAGGGCTCGTAAGATTTTATAATTTCATTACTTTGATTTTATGATTTTAACTTATTAAAAAAATTATATATATATATATATATATATATATATATATATATATATATATATATATATATATATATATATATATATATATGTATATCCATCCATCCATCCATCCATCCATCCATTTTCATCTGCTTATCCGGAGTCAGGTCACGGGGGCAGTAGCCTAAGTCAAGAGGCCCAGACTTCCCTCTCCCCAGCCACTTGGGCCAGCTCTTCCGGGGGAATCCCAAGACGTTCCCTGGCCAAGTGAGAGACATAGTCCCTCCACCGTGTCCTGGGTCTACCTTTAGTTCTCCTCCCGGTTGGACGTGCCCGGAAAACCTCACCAGGGAGGCGACCAGGAGGCATCCTTACTAGATGCCACCACAAGTGGCTCCTCTCGATGTGGAGGAGCAGCGGGTCTACTCCGAGCCCCTCCCGAATGTCCGAGCTTCTCACCCTATCTCTAAGGGAGAGCCCAGTCACTTTTTAGAGAAAACTCATTTCAGCTGCTTGTATCCGCGATCTCGTTCTTTCTGTCACTACCCAAAGCTCATGACCATAGGTGAGGGTAGGCACGTAGATCGACCAGTAAATCGAGAGCTTCGCCTTCTGACTCAGCTCTCTCTTCACCATGACAGGCCAGTACAACGCCCGCATCACTGTAGATGCAGCACCAATCCGCCTATCAATCTCACGCTCCAGTTTTCCCTCACTCGTGAACAAGACCCCGAGATACTTAAACTCCTTCACTTGGGGCAGGACCTCATCCCTGACCCGGAGAAGGCATTCTACCCTTTTCCGAATCAAGACCATGGTCTCAGATTTAGAGGAGCTGATTCTCATCCCAGCTGCTTCACACTTGGCTACAAACCACTCCATCGAAAGCTGAAGATCACGTTCTGATGAAGCCAACAGGACCACATCATCTGCAAAATGCAGAGACCTGATCCTCAGGCCACCAAAACTGCTGTCCTCCACACCTTGGCTGCACCGAGAAATTCTGTCCGTAAAGGTTATGAACAGAATCGGTGACAAAGGGCAGCCTTGGCGAAGTCCAACTCTCACTGGGAACGAGCCCGACTTACTGCCGGCAATGCGGACCAAGCTCTGACACCGGTCATACAGGGACCTAACAATCCGTATCAGAGGGCCTGGTACCCCATACTCCCGGAATACCCCCCACAGGGCCCCCCGAGGGAAGTGGTCAAACGCCTTCTCCAAATCCACAAAACACATGTAGAGTGGTTGGGCAAATTCCCATGCACCCTCCAGGATCCCCCTAAGGGTATAGAGCTGGTCCAGTGTTCCACGGCCAGGACGAAAACCACATTGCTTCTCCTGAATCTGAGGTTCAACAATCCAATGGACCCTCCTCTCCAGAACCCCTGAATAGACCTTACCAGGAAGGCTCAGGAGTGGGATCCCCCCGTAGACGGAACACACCCTTCGGTCCCCCTTTTTAAATAAGGGGACCACCACCCTGGTCTGCCAGTCCATTGGTACTGCCCCTGATGTCCACGCAATATTGGTTTTTAAAGACTGGGTCATCACAGCCTCATAAATTCCAGCTGAAATTCTGGCAGGAAGCTTCTGGCTAGAGGGCCACTCTCCATTGTGCTGAACCTCCAGTTGGGGATCTGATAGGTAGCCTCTCCATTTCTCAGTATATATATATATATATATATATATATATATATATATATATATATATATATATATATATATATATATATATATATATATATATATGTGTGTGTGTGTGTGTGTGTGTGTATGTATGTGTGTGTGTGTGTGTGTATGTATGTATATATATATATATATATATATATATATATATATATGTGTGTGTGTGTGTGTGTGTGTGTGTGTGTGTGTGTGTGTGTGTGTGTGTGTGTGTGAAGCGCTTCTCTGTCTGTGATCAGTGCTACATAAATAAAATTTACTTACTAACAAAAATGTACCTAAATTTCAAGAAGAAGAAACCACAAAATGAAGAAAATTCTAAGAGAAACCACCAGCTGCCCATGCCACCAGTGCTGCTTGGTATTGATTGTGGATGTCAGTGAAACAGGGACATCATTGTTTCAAAACTTATTCCCATTTTGGTGTTTAGATGAGACCTTGGTCTAACTCTCTCTCAGACTCAGATTAGCTGTCTGTGAGGAAACGATTCACATAACTTTTATTGACGCAACTTCCTGGTAGGGACCACTCCCCTCAGGATAGAAATGTGTCATCATAATAATCACTCAGGACAGTTTGTATTGATTTCCTGTGACTCTTCCTGTTGGGTCTAATCTATCAACTGCGTGGGTGAAAGATTCAGGGTTTTCCTATAATGGAATATTCTACTTTCTCCTTTTTATTTAGGAATCTTTAAAATAAACCATTTTGTTTTTGGAAGGCGCACAATAAGAAAGAGCACAGTAAAGGTGATTATTATTGCGATTCTTGTTTTTCTCATTGTGGTTATCTGTTATTGTGCAGCTAATTTAAATTCAGTCACATTATTTTCTGGAAGAATTTAATTATACAACAAGGTAATAAATTTAATTGTTCGTGGAGGTGACAGCGTGCTCTGGGAAAGTCCGGATTGGCGCCGGGGGTAAAGAGAGGTGAAGAGTGTGCACCCTTTGTGTTTGTTATTGCCTCCTACAAATATTATCACACACACACACACAGAGAGAGAGAGAGAGAGAGAGAGAGAGAGAGAGAGAGAGAGAGAGAGAGAGAGAGAGAGAGAGAGAGAGAGAGAGAGAGAGAGAGAGAGAGAGAGAGAGAGAGAGAGAGAGAGAGAGAGAGAGAGAGAGAGAGAGAGAGAGAGAGAGAGAGTGAGTGAGAGTGAGAGTGTCTGCCCCACATCCACTGCTCCACTGCTGAAAACTGCCTCACCGGTGAGACAGTCAAAGATGGAACCGTCTGCAGGCGACAAACCCCGGAGCGCAGCCGATTCTCCGCTCAACGGATCCAACCACATCCGCACAGGAAACGATTTTACTCAGTCAAACCAGACCAAAGCCAAAAAACGGAGTCTAAAACCAAAAACTCTTCACGTGGATTCAAACTTCATCATTTTAAAGGTAAGTTAGTTTACTGAACATTTGTGTGTCCCGTGTGAGTAAAAGCCGCCCGTCGCTCCTTTTTCCTGGCTGCTAGACGCGAATTCATTTAATTGCGCACAAAGTTTGGCTTTTAAATTAGAACAAACAAGTAATGATGTGTAGAAACGTGAAATAATTGTTTTAATGTTTTTGGAATAAAAATTAAATGATGTAGAGAACCGAGGCTTGAAAACGCTAATCCGGATGTCATAACCTCCACTTGAGCGCGCTCACACAGATTAACGCAGCAGCCTGAATAAAAACCCACTGAAAACGTGATTTGTGTTCAGTTTAATCCCATAAATGAATAATAGGTTCGCTTAAGTCTTATATCAAATAAAAACTATTCTGATTCAGCAACTGTCTGCATTGGGACTTTCCTCTTCATTTCTGTCATCATTCAGTCTTCCTCATTCAGGCAATAGCAGCAGCAGGCAATTGTTCTAATCAGAATTATCTTAAATCACAATCCAGGATGTTAATAATGGACACAAGTGGTGCACAACATCCTCACCTCAGTTTGCAGGACACACAAGGGCCCCATGGTGTCTAATCCAGTTCCCTTTAAGCATGCCTGCCAAATCTGGGCCAGGTTCGAGCCTTCAGCATGGCAGGTCTGATTGCGTTATGAAGGCTGAGGGTGCTTGACATTTAAGGGGATATAGTCCTCTAATCAAATCCAAGCAATCTCTAGTGTGTTTTTCCTCCAGAACAAGAGTGTCAAAGAGGCTGTCTGAGGAAAACAAGAGTAGTCGATACACTTGATTAGACTGACAGAACAAGCTGCAACAACAACACCCACAGACGTGATTAAAGACATAGCTGTTACTTTCTAAAACGACTCCACTCAGATTCCATCTAATGTGCCCTGCAGTGGTTTTGCACACACAATTACCTTTTTTAAAACTTTTGCCTCCAAACCACAAGAGTGGAGAGCAGATGGTATTACCCAGACCACTGCTCGGGGAGGTTTTCTTTTTGACACTGTGAGACTCACCTAGGATTGATGTTCATGTCCTTATGAAAGAGGCAAAGCTGGAGCCATCGATCCCTCTCCATCTCTACAATACCCAGCCTACTTACCTCTTGGAACAAGATGAAGCAGCTGTAGTGTCATTGGAGAATAAATATAAGGGTAAATGAGATGGAAATATATTGATCTGTATAATATGATGCCTTTCTTCTGGTCCTGAAGCTTTCCCGTTGAAAGGATGCAATAGTGATTTGAAGCAGGGAGGAGGAGGTCAGATAATCATGTTTAATGATTCACGTCCTTAAGCAGAAATGCAAGAGGAGGATTTTTAACCTTATTAGGCCAATTAAACCCTCATTACTGCTGCTTAGGGCTTGATTAAAGGAGGGAATCGCTTTCGAAGTGGTTTTGTATTGAGTTCCTAACGTGCAGCATCACTAAATTTGAATTGGTTTGCTACGCATGTAAGAGGTGTCATGCACGTAACTTGTCCTCCAAACAATTCCATATTTTTCATTGATCAAAGCTGATTTCTTCTCTTTGCTGACTGTTTGTCTGTTTCTACTTTCTAACCATAAAAGTGTTGATTTAGATTGCATTTGTTTGCAACTTTGGATACAATTGTCTCTTTCCAGACTTACCCACTTTCTTTCAATCTGTCAGATTCTCCTGGTGTGATGGTGTGAGTCTGTTCAGGACCTGATGCATGCTGTGGGGCTATGGTGAGGCCATGTGCGTAGGCTGGTGTGAGAAAAGATGTGGAGGAAGAGGAATCGAGGGAATCAAAGGACTGGACATTTACTCATGGCTGTGCGTGATGGCCTTGCTCTCAGCTCTTTTGGGTCAAGTGACTCCGCAGTGCCCAGACAGATGTCACTGTGCCTGGGACACATTCACTGTGGTGTGCTCAGATGCTGGGCTGCGGGATATCCCAGATGGGATCCCACCAGAGACCATCTTCCTCCACTTGGAACGCAACTACATCCGGAGCATCCCGGAGAGTGCCTTTAGCCACCTGGTCCACCTGCAAGACCTGTACCTGTCCCACAACCGTATCGACTCGTTGTCCACCGGAGCCCTGCGGCACCTGGGACCCAAGCTGCGCCTGCTGGACCTTTCGTTTAACCAGCTAAGGCATGCCAGCAGGGAGGAGTTTGGCTCCACACGAGCAAAGATGCGGCTCTTCCACAATCCCTGGCACTGTGACTGCACACTGCAGGAGCTGATGGAGACTCTGAATCTGGAGCCTGAGACGGTGATTGGAATCATCTGCGAGAGTTCTGTGAGAGGTGTGGGTGAGGGGAGCAGGTGGGAGGACCTGGGGTCACAGGGCGAGCACTCGGGTCAACCGCTCGTCAGACTCCTGGACTCTGGGGTGAATTTCTGCAGCCTGCATAGGAAGACCACTGACGTGGCCATGCTGGTGACCATGTTCGTGTGGTTCTTCATGGTCATCGTGTACGTTGTGTACTACGTCAGGCAGAACCAAGCTGAGGCCCGAAGGCATTTGGAGTACTTAAAAAGTCTACCCAGTCCACGTAAAACCCCCATAGAGACAGACACTCTGAGCACTGGGTTCTGAGGACATGTGACCTTTGTCTTCATGAAAAGTGACTCTGAGGAGTAAGCTGTAAACAAGCCGTAGACAAAAAACAAAACAAAAACAAACAAAAAACCCCCACAGAAAATGAACTTGTTGTTTGATTATTTCCTTACCTTTGTTTTTCTAAACATTTATTTTCTTATGACTTTTGCTATTTTAATTAAAAATGGTGAGGTTGTTGATTATTACAAAACACCAACAGTACTGTAATAAAAAGAATAGTAAAAAGTGTAGCAGACGTGAATTTGAACAAAGGACACTATTGAACTTAATAGGTCTGTCTTCTTTTGTAGCTCATCTTCTCCTCCCATGCCTCATAACTCTCTCTTTTATCTTCCATTAGGCTCTAATAGGGGACTTCAACCAGCTGACCCCTAGTGAACACTTGAAAGGCACTAAAGTGATTGTCAGGTGTGCAAACACCTACGTTTGTCTTCATTTACATTTCCATCCTGGTGTTTTGGTGGAATCTTACATTAGTTTTATAAATGTTATCCTGCACAGATGGCATCATGCAAACGCCTAGCCACATTTTTTGGGTGCCGGCGGAGAGCTGCTGATCTAAATTTACTCAGTGGAGCTGGAGGTGAACTATTTTGTCTCTTTGCTGCAGCAGTCAGCTCTGAAATATTTGGACGATTTCATATTCATGCAGATGTTATTGATTGGGTGGAGGAATTTCAGTCCGTCCTGAGGATGGATTTGTGTTGACATCTATTTTGAGAGAAGCTGTTAGTTAACGTCTGGATTGTTTCTTTTTTTTTGCTCCTCCTATTTTCCACATTGACTCCGTCATAACCGGATCTATTTTTATGGCCTTTGAAAAAGCCACACATAATTGGATATTAAATAAATCGTTTATTTCTTATAGAACGTTCAAATGAATGCTACTTCTGATGTGTGCGCTGTGAATGCTCCACTTGGCTTTCTGCAAATGCTGAGCAAATTTTGACCATATGAACAGGAGCTCAGAGTTTATTTCAATTGCTTTGATTTTACTTGTGTTTAATGTTGAAGTAACAGTTTTCATGTTAAGAGGGGAAGGCTTATGCTATATTTAAGCTGTCTGTCATTCTTTGCTTAAGAAGTAAAAAAAAAAACATGTTTTTTGGTTGACTCATCAAACATATGAATTTAGTTTCCAGAAGCTTCTGAGGTCATCAAATTGAATATTGAAATATGTTTATGGTTGTTTATCAAAATTAGCATTTATTTAATTTAATACCTGCACATTAAAATATAGTACCACTTTAAAATAACATTTACTTACACGTTTACAACGTTAAACAACTAGCTAATAGTAAATTAATTGTAATATCCCTCCATAAACTGTCAGGTTAGCCCCTTGGTAGAACATTTTTAAGTCTCTGTATGTCACAAAAATGTGCTCTGAGCTTTACTAAATAACTTCAGAACTAGAAGTCAAAAATTAAATTCCATTGCTTTTACATTAATAGTAAACCTCTTTATAATTCGTTATTGATGTTAATTCTTAGCCTTGTTGCCCCAAATGAATAAAAATCACACAACTAATTTTTAGCATTTTCCTTAATGTGGAAGTTCAAAAAGGACAATAGCGATCTGTTTCCTGCCAAATAGTGACCCCTTTACAGTTTTTAAACAGGATCTGACATAGAATGAGTCATATTTTTGTAAAGTGCCTCAAATAGGATACACTTTAAAGAATGCTTTAATAACATAATGTATTATTATTATTATTGTTGTTGTTATGAACACATAAAAGAAGTTAAAATCTTTTTTCCATGACCATTATTGATTACAAATTGCAGCCAATTACAAGATTTTTGAAGAGAAAAAATTAAACTATACAAAAAAATAAATAAATAAAAATAAAAGTAAGCTAAACGTTCTTCGTTTATACACCAATTAATTATTTTTAAAATCACATACCGTGAACACCCCTGGATGGAATTTAGGACTAAGCATGTTTTGCTGAATCTAAAAAGGTTTTTAATTTTATAAATTTGAGACTTTTATTTTACTTTAAAAGCAACATTTTTTAAAATGATGTGGCCGCCAAAAATAATAAAATAATAAATAAATAAACTAATCAAATGATAGACAGCAAGATAATAAAGGGCCATAAATTAGATATAAATATTGACATGAACTATTGCTTCTAAAAAGTACTTTTCCCCTGTTGTGCCATCATAAAATAAAGTAACTTTTCATGGTGTCATAGAGCTGCTTAGAGCTTTGTTGGGTTTTTCCTGTGTAATGAACTAAAGTGTAGAAATGTTTGTGTGTTCATGATGTGTGTCAGAATGTAACCGTTTGATCAAACTGTTGATTTGTAACCAGAGCGGAGCAGAACTTAGATTCACTCTCCGTTTTAATGTCGTGTGTATTTGTCAGAGCAGGGTAATGTGTTGATCACATGCTGTAATTTAGACTCATTTTGTATTTCTGTGGTCTTATGTTGGTCAGTTAAAGCCTTAAAGATTGCCTTTCAGTCAAAGATGTAAAAATGTTGTGAAGCTAAACATTCAGATTTTTTTCTGTTTGTCATTAATCAAACATCTGATTTTGTTTCAACTGGGGTGTTCGATATTGGCTTTTTTACCGATATCTGATATACCGCTATAACGATATTGTTGACTTTCCAATACTGATGTAAACTAATATATGCTTTGTCCCCCTCTCATTAAAAAAGAAAAACTAAAACATTTTAGGTAAGTAAATTCACATATTTCCTGTCATGCCTAATTAAAAAAAATTATCTGTGCAAAATGACAGCTACTTCAAATTAAGTAAGTAATGGGAAAAGTGCCATAATTGTTTTGTCTCTAACAGCAGCTGAATCTCATTCTCCGTAAGCGTGATGCTAACCCCCTTTACCTAGCATCAGCAGCGTGGAACGGCACAAGCAAACAAACTTGCATTTAATCACGTCTCACGTGCAAGAGAGAGCCCCTCCCAGTTGTTGGAGCTTCTCAGCTTGTAGCCAATTAGCCAGTCATGGTATGAGTGGGCGTGGCCAGCTCCACATGGTTTTCTTGAAGCGACAGAGCCCTGAAATGGCTCAGTGTGTAAGGTACTGAAATCAATAAGAATTCAACACATTCTTGTGAGTTATTTAGTGCCAAGAACTTCATAAAAATGTTTCATATCAACAGGAACACTAGTAGAACTAATATACCTTAAAGTGACGGTGTGATTTTTTTCAGGCGATAGGGGGTCAGTAGATACATTAATTGTTGCACGCAAGCAGTATTTTTGTGTTGGAGGAAGACCTTACCAACGGACGCCCATTAGGGTCAAAAAGCCCCAAGGAGTGAAATCTTAAGCAAAATAACGAGCACATCCGACTCTTTCAGCACTGACAACAAGTGAAGAGGTAAAAGTGTAAAACAACAACATTTAAGAATAGTGAAAGTTTTATAACCATTTGTTACAAATCAGTAAATCCAATATGTCGTCATGAGCTCCTGTAGAAGGAAACATGGCATCTAATATGGCACCGCCCAGAGACTTAGACCCGCTCCCATGTACTTTAGACCTGATTTTTATGGTTATATGTTACTAAGTCTCTAATATTTTTCAACAATCAGGCATCATTTAATTCAATTTCAACATTATTTTGATGGATATTTCCAGAAATTAATGGTAAAAACTTTATTTCTTTAGGAAAAAAAGTCATAGTAGGTCTCTTTTAACAATTAAAGGAGCAGAAATCTGCAAGGATGTTTGATAAGCTGTCATCTTTTTAAGTGGAAGCAGGGTATAGTTAAATGTTTAATGTACTTTTTTGTATTACAAAACATTTTTGTCTTATTTTATTGTTTGTTTTTTACAAAAAAATCTGACCCCACCTCAGATTTTTCAGCATTTTGAGGAAAACCAAACAAATCACATAAAAAATAAAACTTCAGTCCATTACTTGGTTTTTGTCTTTTATTTCCAATTTACAATAATTAAACATAACAAAACAAGTCAAGATCATCATCACCATAATATAATAATAATAATGCTATTATTTTTATTATTATTATTATGTGTTTGTGTTTGTGTGTGTGTGTGTGTGTGTGTGTGTGTGTGTGTGTGTGTGTGTGTGTGTGTGCAGAGACTGTGAGGGGACTGGCGGGGGGCAACGAAGATGGATTGGGGGTGGGGGTTGTCACAGCAAACATGGGTAGCAGACTGGGCTTTAATAACCAAACCTACCTGTGAATTGAAACATGGCATCTGCAGTCAATTTTTCAGGGTAAAAAGCTTTGGATGGATCCATGAATTTTTATTTATCCAAGATATCAAAACAATTTTCCTAATTTTAAACTTAATTTGGAGGCTTTTGAAAATTTTTTTATAAATATGAGAAAAGCTGAATTTTGAACATTTGTTAAATCAAAGATCTCAGGGTCAATGCTCTCTACGAAGCTAAATATATATATATATATATATATATATATATATATATATATATATATATATATATATATATATATACATATATATATACACACACACACTTATGTACAAGACATTATTTGTGTGTTTTTCAAATAATACAAACTGTTTTACAACAATAGCACCATTGATTTTATTATAATACACAGTATTTTATTTGATACACACTATTGCGGTAGAAATAAGAACACCTGAACTCTACAGTACATTTTAGATTTTTGGTTTTAACAAAATGCTTTTTTCCTTTAGTAGATGCGACACAAGAAAGATGAGGGTGATTAGAGAAGAGGAGGAAGCAAAGAGGAAGAGTTTTGTTTTAAATATGTGTAAGCAAACTTATTCTGTTGGGACTTTGCCACAGTACTCTCACACCTGGGATCCACACATAAACAATAAATAAATAAAACCAACACTTTGCTCTCTCTCTCTTTTACCCAGGTACGGTCCATTACTCTCCTCATATTTCCTCCTGTTTGGTCCGAGACGTGAGGAAAGTAGAAGTGTAGGGAGGGAGTGATGCTGAATGAAAAGTGGGGTTATAAGGAGGGTATCCATATAGAGAGGGACTGGTGACTGAAGGCAATGCTGGATGATGAATCACAAACGACAGATGCTGGAGCCATTCAGTGCAGATATCCTACGAAGTTTGGCTTGAAAAAAAAAAGCACTTTTACTTAGAAAATAAGTCCCATTTAAAATAAAAAATGTCTCAATTTGTTGTTTTCTCTCCTTCTGAAGTGGGCTCCTCAGTCACTCCCCTCCTAAGATTTCCAACTTCTTCCTTTTCTGTTTGATCACTCGTTTTTTACAAGAAGCAAACTGGTCCGACGTCGACTCCAAACTCCTGGTCCGCTCCACCAATATCCATGGGGGCAATGTCCACAAGGGGCAAACGAGAGGTCTTCTGTGACCTGTATTCGATTACCGTCTTGCCCCAGTGTCCTGTGTGTCTCTGTTTAAAGGGAAAGCATCACAAAGCAGTTGTTAAATTACCTTTAATTGCTGTATAAATGTAGAAATCTCTCAGTTTGATTCTTCAGAAAGTAAAGAAACAGCTGTTTCTTACCGTGCAGCCATCTTCCATGACGCTATAAGTGAAGCGGCTGTTGCCCTCAGCTCTGATCTCCACATCATTAGAGCCCTGGAGCAGCACGGCCTTCTTCAGGTTGCCCGTCGAGGCGTCCATGTAGGCAATGCTGTTCTTGCAGTGGTAGGTGAGGTTCTGAGAAGCCTCGGTGGACAGAAGTCTCAGGAAAGTCATCTGAATGGCAGCAGTGTTGGGCGCCAGGCTGTCATCACCGTAGCCAAACTGCAAGCATGCATTTATATATATATATATTATGCAGTCAGATCTTTTTAAAAATGCAGAGTTTTTACAAATCTGAAGTGAAGGTACAATCTTCTAACTGCATAGGATAAAATGGTATTTTTCTGCCTCGATTGTTTGTTTTTTCTTTTGGAAAAAGAAAATCACATTTTGTTCAATTTCTTTTCATCCACACCTGTTTTATGTGGATCAGTCATACATAAAGTCACCAAATCAAATCCAAAATAAAAAAGTCAAAATTAAAGGTGCAGTGTGTAAGAATAGGGAAAGGTGACCTCCTGTGGCCAAATTTAGTTACTGCAATCACTCTCTTGCTCCTGTTTTGTGAGTTTCATGGCTGTTGCCAGTTACGGATCAGTTATAGATAACCAGCAAAGACAAGTCATACAAAGTGAGTAGATAAGTTGATAAATACATTGTCATCGCTGGTGCTATACTCTTGGGTGTTTTACGGTAGAAAGCACTTAATACACTTGTTACGGTTAAATGCCTCTGGCACAGAGAGAGGGCTGTTTTTCCCGTCTGGCTGGTAGCTTGGTGTCTTTGCTCTGAATGACTCATTTAAGGAAGTAAAACGCTACAATTTACTCACTATTCACATCGTGCACACATTTCACGGTAATATTGAGTTGTTGGTAATTGAAAAAGTAGCTTGACATAATTTTAGAGCCAGAGATCAGTGAGTGTGAGGGTTGTGTCACCAACCCCACGCTCACTGATGGTAAACAAAAGCCATGTCCCTCCTGTGTTTGTTTTGAAAGGAGAAAAACTGACAACCCCTGCAGCCGGCTGAGAATGAAATCTGTTTTAGTGTGACCTTCCTTCCAACATGGCTGAGACATCAGGCTGTTTTGGGATAATTTCACTGTAGAAATCTTACTTGATTCTTGCGCACTGCACCATTAATAAGATTTCTCAATACTCAAAGCAAAACCTCAACATCCTGAACTAGTAGAATAACTGGTAAAGAAAAAAAAAGTATAAATATGGGGATATTTTCTTAAACAGAATACTGAGTTACAGAGTAAAACTCACGTGGAATCCTCCATTCATCGTCTCCCCAAACCAGATGTGTTTGCGGTCTTTGCTCTTGCTGGACCACCAGTTCTTGCGAGGGATCTTTGATGGCTTGGGGGAGATGCAGGACTCTCCTGTCTCCATGTTGCAGAAGACCTTGATTGCATCTACGGTGCAGCCCTGATTGGGATCAATCCAGTACTCACCTACAAACACATAAAAAACATCAGGATGTTCCTTCAACATCACAGATGCCCGGATAGCTGCTAATCACTGGTGTGCTGTGTGTTTTGGTGGACTGTTTACATGTTCAGTGTGTTAAAAACAAGCTCTAGATCAGCACAAGGTTTGACTTGTTTTCTAACTGTCATTGCGCTTCATCATCTCACCCCAATTCGACCAATTGGTTCCACTGTCACTCACCGCTCTTCCAGTCTGGATGGCAGAGCTTCAGATCTCTGCAGGTGCGAGCAGGATTCTTCTTGGATCCCTCTGGGCTGCGAATGTTCTCAATCTGGTTGTTGAGAGATTTCAGCGTGGCATCGACCTCAGCGTCATGCTGGCGGAGGTTTCCGGCGGCCTGGTCAGCTCTCATATACCTGAGAGGATCGGGGGACTTCTCGGTCTGGCCCAGACCGGCAAAGGCTGACATGTCAATACCGGGACCGGGGGGACCGGGAGGACCAGGGGGTCCGGGGTTTCCAGGAGGACCCTGAGAGACGAAGGAGAGAGATAAAGTTGTCATGTTGATTTTCTTCTTCTATCCTGGTTGTGCTCTGAGGAATTATTCCTCCGTGCCCTCCTCAGGTTAGAGGTTTGTGATCTGGTTCAGTTTCATCATGACGTTTCTGTACTTTTGTCCCATTGGATTGTCTGAGGTTTCAATATTAGTTTTACCAATTCATTCATAGTAAAGAATTCAGTTTTTACCTTTTCTGTGACACGATTGGTGAGGAAATTCTAATTAAATAGTAATAATAATCAAACTTTTGGGACTTTCTTACATTTACCATGTGCTTCTAAAATACATTTTATAAAATAAAACAAAATTGAGCCAAGTAAGCACTAAAAGCCCTTATATTGATGACTGCTGATTAAAAATAATTTCAAACACAAATTTTTATACTTTTTTTATTTGTAAGAATGATTTTCAGCTTATTTAAAAGTTTTATGATTATGAGATTTTCAAATACTCTACTTTTATTTTTCTGGCTTTAAAAGAAAACTTAATGTCAAAAATATATTTTATCAACTGTAACGGTATGACCAGTTCATCTTTTTTTTTTTACAATAAATATCCACCTGTAATTTCACAATAAGTCAATTCCTAACATTGGCCCAAATAAGCCAACATATTAAACATTATTAAAAAAAATTATATACTTGTTGATTTTAGAGGATTAATCCGATTACTAAGTGAAAATCCACAATTTACGCAATAAAGTTTCTTTCAATCTCAGACAGAAAGAACAATTTTACAGCTGACCTTAAAAGTGACTTAATGATGCTTCTTATCACATAAACAGTATGTCTGGCTGCTCTGGGGCGTTTTGGGGTTTCTGATACTACTCTTGAATATCAGCCTGTTAATTATGCTTGGATCAAACTTCACCTAGAGATATTACAAGGTTGCTGTAGTTACTCACAGATGGTCCAGTTTCTCCAGAGCGACCACGAGGTCCTGGAGGACCGATGGGTCCTGGCATACCGTTTGAACCATCCTTTCCTGCAGGGCCAACAGGTCCAGGTGGTCCCTACAGATGGGGATGTTGAACAGATAATTCCTATATACCCTTCTACTGCAGACTTCAATATAAAATCAGCAAAAAGAAAAGTAAAAGAAAGAGGAAGGAATACCTCACTTAGTGAAATCTTTTATTTAATGAGATGATACTCACTCTTTGTCCAGCAGGCCCAGCAGGTCCAGTAGCACCCTGGTCTCCAGATTGACCCTAATGAACACAGAGAATATAAGATATTAATGATAAAACAAATGTTTTACACTGACTCAATGCAACACACACATCTGGATGCAAACTTATTTTGTGTTTGATTTCTCACCGGGGGGCCAGGGAGACCCTGCAAACCAGTGAAGCCTCTGTGTCCCTTCTGTCCTCTCTCCCCAGACTCCCCAGCCTCTCCCTTGTCTCCACGGGGTCCTTGGGGTCCCTGAGAACAAGAGGGAAACATTTGAATTGTTTACAGAATGAAACACATCAATTTCACAGCTCAATTTAACTCTGACAGCAGCTAAATGAGTGTTGTGTTTGCTTTTGTTTGTTCAGGTTAAAGGTCATCTCAACAGGACATACAGGCATTCCTCGGGCTCCAGCAGGTCCCGGAGATCCAGCAGGTCCTTGTGCACCCTACAAAACAAACAAACAAACAAACAAGCATGGTGACACACAGCTAGAAAAAATAATTAGACTTATTTTACTATTACATTAACATTCTAAACATGCTAAATGGTACTTTGAAAGTACAATCTTTGTGTATTTAAACACATTTTAAATGAAAATGAAGTTCAATGAAAGCTAGCGTTAATACAATATTTGAAATAAATAATATGTAAATGAGAAAAGCAATCACAGTCTCAGACAAAAGGTCTGTTAGGGATAAAACACCTGAGATGTCCACCTGTAAGCATGATCCTGTGCTTAATGCTCATTTCCAGAGAACCAAAATCCACTCACAGGATTAAATATACTTTTTCTGTGATAAATGTCATTTTATATTCTGCTGTACTGTTAAAATGTTCTGTTCCCTTGTTGGAGTCATTACTCACAGGCTCTCCTCTGTCTCCCTGTTTGCCGGTAGGACCCACTGGGCCCGGAGAACCAGGAGCACCTGGAGCACCAGGAGCACCTGCAGGACCTGTGTTGCCACGGTCGCCCTGCAGCAAAAGGAGCCCAACAGTGAAAAAGATGCAAGATCCAACAGATATACTGTTTTGTAAATGATGCATGCAGAAAGAAGAGCAATTATTATTTTTGCATTTTTAAGGACTTATTGCAGATATTTAATTAAAATGCTATGAAAGACTTCAAACTTCCAAAAGGGCTGGATAATAAGAAAATAATTACTGCTACTAATTTAACTCATCTAGTAAAGATTTCTTAGTTTAAAGTTTAACACATTTAAAGAGGCTTATAAAGCATAATCAGACTGATCAGCCAACACATTAAAACTACTGACAGGTAAATTGACAGAACTCAACGTTCTGCTTGAAAAACCTGGATGTTTCACAGAGTTTCCACAGGTATTTTATTGTAGCTCAAATGAAGACCAACCCCTACACAGCAACAAATTGCTTCTTTACAGTAACAACCTCCCATCCCATTCCAACAGCAGGACATAAGCGGACCAAACAAAAAAGATATTTTAGAAAGGAGTCAGAGAACATGAAGAAAAATAAAACTGAAGAAAAAAAGTTTGACTCCAACCTCTAAAATCCACCAATAACCAGTTTTACTGGTTTTATGTTATTAGTGGGAACTAAGTCCCATCCTCAGGGGTACTATCCCACTACTCTAAAGGATCAAAGGACTTCCTACCAATGTCCTGGTACCCAAGGGCGTCAGTTTGTTTTCAGAATTGCTGGGGACAATAAAGTAGGCTAGCACAGGGGTCGGCACCCCGCGGCTCTGGAGCTGCATGCGGCGCTTCCATCCATCTGATGCGGCTCTCTGCTTGTAAAATAATGAATGGATATAAAATGCTTTATATTTTACTGCATTAATTTTACATCTGTATGCCAATTCTAAATGTAAAGATTGTCTGCGTAAACCTGAACAGGTCCAACCCGGTCTTACTGTGAGACCGGGTTGGCGCGTCACGCTTGTGCGTAATCATAGAGGCGCATTCTGAGCTGAAGAGGATGTGAGATTCTGGGATTCTCCTCAGACGGCTCCTGGATGTGTCGCCACATTGGAGCCAGGAACAAGCACTATTCAGCCAAAGTTTCATAATCAGGGAACATTTTCTAAGTGACAAGTCTCTCTGAGAGACCGGGTTTGGAAAACACTCGCTTCAGTGGGAGGAACCTTCCACATGCGCTCTGGTTCTCTGGGGTTAATCAAGTTTAATTGTTTCTCTTTGCAACAATCTTCACAGGAAGGCAAAACAGTTAAACGGCAGGTTACAGATATTTCCATTTGACTTTTTATTTTGACAGATGAACTCAAGGATGTTGCTTGGTTTGAAAGAATTACCCCGACGCACACTGATGCGCATGGATGAGCTGACATTTTAATCGTTAATGCACATCGCGGAGGTAAAATATTCCCATCAGAACATCAGAGCTTTATACTGGACACTGTGTTCAGCGCGGCTCGGAGCGCCCACGGTGGACAGTGAGCTGAAGATCTGGGGTTCGCAGCGCAGTGCAGAACGCATGCGATAAGATTTCCTCCCACTGAAGTGGTCTGGAAACCAGGTCTCTCTGAGGGATGTGTCACTTGGAAAAATGTTCTTTTTATGAAATTATGAAACTTTGGCTGAACAGCGCTTGTTTCCGTCTCTAATATGGAGACGCATGACGCGTAGAGACATTTGATTACGCACAAAGTTTATGTGGAGCAGAAGCGGTCGGGCCACGGCAGGTGAAACGTTCCTAGCCTACATGAAGTGTAACTGTTTAATTGTAACATTAATGTGTTACTGGACACGCTGGTCTGGTTGGTTAGACCAGTGTTTGAAGTGGAAAACACACACACACACACACACACACACACACACACACACACACACACACACACACACACACACACACACACACACACACACACACACACACACACACACACACACACACACACACACACACACACACACACACACACACACACACACACACACACACACACCAATTAAAATAATGCTGATAGCATGGACTAGAAGACAGGTGATGGTTTACGTATTTAAATGATGATCAGGCTGCTGTAAAATGTAATCTCCATCCACATCCAGACAGAATTATCCTCTATTCTTTCTCTAGTTGCTCTGCTCTTGTCTGGGCTGATCAGCTGATGGTGCGCGATGCGCCTAACTAGCGGCTGATGCACATTTTACGCATTTGGAGAGGTGGGCTGGATGCTTTGCTTTTACTGGAAGATGGTCCACTTAACGCACGGGTGTAGACTACATATTAATGACAAATGAATGAAAATTAAATTGGGAGTTTTTACTTCATATTTTATAAATAAAAATGACGGGGGAACACATTTATGACGTATTTTTAAACGAAATTTTCTAGCGCGACCTGCCTGCTTCACTTAAGTCACTGCTTATTAAGGTCCGTCCAGAATTACCGTGGGAAATGGGTAATAATGGCTCTTTGATGGGAATAGGTTGCCGACCCCGGTATAAGATCTGAGCTGGTAAAACAAAAATCCTCATCAGCAGGCGTTTTTGAAAGTGGGGGGGACACAGCTGCCAATTACAAATTTTGCCGGGGACATGTCCCCGGCGTCCCCGGTTAAAATGACGCCTATGCTGGTACCAGAAACTCCAGGACACCTCTAGACAGTCTTTACCCATGTTCTCTCAAGTCAGACCTATTGTATCCTACCTAGGTCATGATGTTATGGTTGATCTGAGGACATGAGTATCATGCATCTTGATGTCATTTATGATTCTCACCTTGATTCCAGGAGAACCGTCTCTACCGGGAGGCCCATCAGATCCAGGGTTGCCCTGTCAGACAACAGAAACACATTTCTTGTTTGCACCTGCACATCCCCAGATGTCCTACTGAATAGAGATCAGCTGCATAATGACCCCCGCTCTAGCCAAATGCATTAAGAATTCTGTGTAAACATAATGCAAATAGATAGGTGACACAGACTGTGCTGCATTTTAATAGCCTGCAATCCCAGGACTGGATCAACCACTAGTTTCTGACCTCTCTGCCAGGTTCTCCTGCAGGTCCAGTGAGTCCAGGTGGTCCGACAGGTCCAGGAGGTCCGCGGTCACCTGCACCACCAGAACTTCCCTGCTTTCCAGGCTCCCCCTTGAGAGAAAAGATGATAAGTTATTATTATATTTAAATAAAACCTATATGAGCTCTATAGGTTCAGAGATTTGCAGAGTAAATTCACCTTGATGTCCAAATAATTATGTTTAAGGACAGTTCTGCCTGTTTAAAACAACTGAAGGTACAATAATGATGTCACTTGAGTATTTCAAATGTTTTGAATTTAAATGAAAAAATATCTGACTTTTTTTTAAACACACCCCATTATTGGAAAGTCTCTCTGTATTTAGCTTTTGCTGCAAAACTGTTTGATTGAACAACCATTCAGGATGTAAGATTTATTAAAGACCAAGTTAACTCTTTTCCAACACCTTTTCTGATTGGCTAACAGTAATGTGACTCGTCCACTGACCCTGTTTGCTCTGCAATGTTGATGTTTTATCTCCACAAATACCACAAGCCTGAATGAGTTCTGCTGTGTTGTGGAGTTGCTAATGCTAAAGGTTAGCTTCTTATAGCCAAGCCGCACTTTGCTGCTTCCTGGACGCTAAAACAGAAACAGCCTTCCCCATCGCAGGCCAACATCGGTGAGTCTATGAATGTTAATTTAGCCATGTGACGTGCAATTGACAGGCTTTTTTTAACCCAAGAGTTTTTCCATCTATTTTCCATCAGCAGCTAATACAGGAAATAAGGTTAGAAGACTATTTTCACATTTAGCCTGCATGTTAAACTCAGAGAAAAAACAACTTTTTCTTAGAAAAGCTGGTCTTTAAAGGTTGAATATGGAACACAAACACCACAGCGACATCTAGTGTGTGGAGGTTGTAGCAGCAACAATATAACTTTTTTTTTCAGCCGTGAGGAGGCCAGGTTTGCTGACCATCCAGCACCATGTCCAGTGACGAATCATACAGGGTAAGGGCTAACTTCTACTAATAAGTTTATTTTACAACAGTATTTAACATTAGAACATCTTCTGGACTCAGAAGCAGCTGCTTGACTTGCATAGTCAGCCATCTTCTACAGTGCCAGCCTCGCTGTGCTGAGCAGACATTTTACTGTATTTGGCAACCCACAACTGTGCCCTCTATTGGCTGGTAAATGTAAACATAACCCCAGTGCTGTGCCTGTCAAAATAAATATTTGATTATTTCTTAATTAAAATATAGCTTTTAAAGAAAATACTGCACACTGAACTGTATGTACATCTAAAAGACCAATTCTGGTCACTTGAACACATTAGCATAACCCAAGTTAAAAGCGTTCAATTGTCCTCCTATCCTGCATGCTATGATAATTTTCCTGTTTCAACTCAGTGGTTGAATGACCTCTACAGCTTGCTCTTTAGCAAAAATGTAATAATGACCTACTGATTCAAATAAGGTGTGTTGAAGCAGTGAAACATCTAAAATATGCAGGAGAGTGTCCCTCAAGGACAGGATGGGACACTGTTTGAAGAAAGATACGGAATTTATAAATCAGGGTGCGGTGGCACGACTACAATTGGTCTAAAATCCAGCTTCTAGGTTCTTAACAGGCACGACACGAAGGGAGCACATTTCTCCTGTGCTGTTATATCTGCACTGGCTCCCCGTGCACTTCGGGGTAAAATTCAAGGTGATAACTCTGGTGAATAAGGGTCTTGAAGGAACTGCTCCTTTCCTTGACTAGCTTTTTGAACAGGCATGCTCCACCAAGAGCCCTCTGCTTGGCTGATACGAAACTGGTGGCTGTTCCACATTTAAAGTAAAAGGTCATAGGGGATTGTGCGTTCTCAGTGTTGCCTCTGAGGCTATGAAATGATTTGCTTTTAACCGTGAGCCAGTCACCTGTTCTGCACGGTTTGAAGTCCTGTTTCAAGTAGCATTTTTGGCTTTTCAATAACAGATGTTGTAGTGTGGCTTCATTGTGCTGCATGCAATGTGGCCTTTTATTAGGTATCATGTTTTTGTGGCTGTTTTATACTGTTTTACTTGTACTTGTTACTTGTTGCATTGTCCAGCACCTGGGAGTTAAAATAATTAATTAATTAAAGCACTGTGAGATTCATGCAGCTTTTTTAAAATGGTGATGTTCATCAGATCATAAGCATAAAAAAATGTATTTACATGAGTTGTTTATGGACAGTGATAAAACGAGGGCACAGCAAAATGTCAGTCCAGAAAATGTGTGCTGATGTCCCTAGTTTGCTTTAACGGAGTGACAAAACAGCTGGCTTGTGCTCATATGGCAGATATGAGCCATGACAGCAGGGTCAATGGTGTTTCCATCCTCCCGTTTGCACGCGTTTGTGTCATTGTGAAAGACACAGAAAATACCTGAGATTTGTGAAGTGTTTATGTCTGTCTCAAGACTTTTTTTTCTCACAGCAGTTAAAGAAATATTCAGGAAGACTGAGTTTGTTGACAGCCATGGTCTAGGCTGTGTGGAATAAACTGTGCTGAAGAAAAAAAGTTTGCGTTTTGTTGAATAATTTATTTATGATGGTTTTATTTCAAAATCGCGTTGTTAATTATGTCATTTTTACAAGTGAGTTCATTTTAAGAATTAGTCAGTTGCATGTGTACCAAATTTGAATCTCACAGTAAAAAATGTCATTAGAAATGTCATAATCAGTGTCCTATTGCACAATATATTTGATTTTTTTTATATCAGTCTCACTATAAAAAATATAATTATTATTGCTTTTAAATCATTGTTTCAGTTTGCAACACCCGACTTCCTCATAACCAGTTATTCCATCTCATTTGGTTGCTGATTGGGTGATTTGTGAAAAAAATCCATAAAGCGGCTGAAAAATCTATTTGTTATTGTTAGTCAGTTGAAACAGTGAATCTTACAAAAAGACCAGTGTGTTAACATAAAGTTATTACCTTCAGTTTGCTGAGCTTTACGTGCCAATTTATTTATTTCAAGAATAGTCTGAGATTTATTACCCAAAAACCAAATAGTTTCTAATTACAAATTACATATCAGATAAAATAAGTTCACAAGTGGAAACATATGATAAAAAATACTTTTAGGTTAATTTCTTTGTCCTTCAACAAAATAAATGTTATAAATTTTTTATTTTGTTTTTACATTTTTATCAATAGTGTGTAACAAAGTGACAAATTAAGAGTCTTGAATAGAAATCACATTACTTACAGAAGGTCCAGGCAGACCAGGGAAACCTCTTTCACCTCTCTGTCCGGGCAAACCAACGATACCGCGCTGACCAGCCAACCCCTGAGGACCTGATGGACCAAGAGGACCCTGAGGGGAAACACAAACAGAATACAAGATTACTAGGATGGCAGATAATTTTATTTGTGTGTTTCCAAGAATGACTTTAAAGGAGTGGTTTTAGTTGTTGCAGTGGTCTGTAGTAGGAATGAATACCTTGTACGTCGTTGGGGTGGGGGGAATATACCGGTACACCATTTCTCAGATCTAAAAGTTGCTCACCACAGCTGAACTTCAGATGGCAGGCTTTGGAGTCTTATTTCCTGACATTTGGAGATCTCACCTCAGATTGGATAACAGCAACGACTTGAAACATGGATGTTTTATCTCCACACATAACTCAAGCCTGGAGGAGTGCAGCCGTGTGGTGAAGATGCTATTTCTAACAGTTAGCATCTTATAGCCAAGACATTCTCTGCTGTTTCCTAGACGCAAAAGCAGCAACAGCCTTCCCCACCGTGAGTCAAGATTGGTGCGTGCTAATTTACAATGTGACATAAATCTGTCAGAATTTTCAATCTTAAGGTTTCACCGTGTATCAGAAGCTAATGCAGGAGATAGGTGTAGAAAACTATGTTCATGTTCAGAATGCATGAAAAGCTCAGAGTGACCAATTATAATCAGTCAACCACACCTTTAAAGCCCACTGAGTATTAAAAAAATCTGTCGTGGTCTCTCAAATAAACTAATGCCTGCCTTTTGAGTAATTCACTGTGAAAAAAATGTTTTTCTGGTAGTAGATTTTAGGCAGAGGAGTGGCAAGGAAAATGGCTGGGTTTGGAATCTTACTCATCTTTATTCATTTTATTTGTACACAGTGTTGGGAATGTTACTTTAAAAAAGTAATTAGTTATAGTTACTGATTACTTTGTCAAAAAAGCAACTCAGTTACTAACTGAGTTACAAGGTTATAAAAGTAACTAATTACCAAGAAAAATTACTACTTAGTTACTTTTTTCATTAAAGCATGCATGAATTACTACAATAGTGAAATATAAATGACTAATGATTGGAATATAATAAAATGTATGTCCAAATGTTTTTTACAAACCTGAATAATTTAAATAAATAAGTATCAGGAGGAACAGCTAACAGGAACATTACACTAATCTAGACTACTAAAAGGTCACTGTGTGATATTTAACAAGACCCCAATCAGCTAACATTTATAATAGCAAATAGAAACACCTGTAAAGGTTCCCAAGCCTTTAAATGGTCTCTCAGTCTAGTTAAATTACAGAAATGAATGTAATTTTGTGCAGTATTTTAATTTTTCCAGCTTCACATAATTGTGTGTTATTAGCAGCATTGCTGTTGCTGCTAATCTAGTAATGGTTAAATAAATAAATAAAATACTTTAAAATGACACTAGAAGAGGCACAAACCTGATGGAGGACTTAAATGTGTAACTTGGGTCAGACCCAACCACAGAAGAGCTGAAGCTGGGTGGTAAACACACACAGGTAGTTCTAATAGCACCTGAGCACCATGACGCCTGAGACTGATGCATCGGTGTTACAGCGGGACTAAAGACATGATCAGAAACAGGTTACAGCTGGAGGATCTAGGTAGAAAATCAGGACGTCTGAGCGGTGAACAGGTGAGCGGACCTTCAGGACGTCCCGCTGTCACGCTAAGAAGGTCACGGGCCGGCTGCAGATCCACACCTGCAGCCATAGAGCATTCATCACGTCTTCCTCGTTCTTCACGGGCCGTGATGCACTTGGATGAAAACATCTACCGCTTTAGCTCCTGATCAGCTGATGACAGCTTCAACACACCGCGCTGCTTAACGCACTCATTTCCTTATCAGTAACAGAAACGATCGTTTTGTTAAAAGAAGACGGTAATTAATTAGTTTGCTCGTTACTGAAAGAAATATTTTTTTTATTAGCGCGGTTATTTTAAACGGCGTTATTCCCATCACTGCTCTGTTGGGTCTACAGCATGCAGTGACACTAAGACAGTGAGGGTCTCCGCCCACCCGGCCAATCATCATCGTGTTTGTAAGTGAGTTACCGACACCTCTCTCTCCCTGGCTGCAGCTGAAGTGTGGCGGTCAGAAAGCCTCACACTGTTGCTCAACGTTCGACAAGCACATAGTAAGACACAACCTTCCGTCCCCAGTAACGGTAACGGCGTTGCAACAGTGGGAAAAGTAATTAATTAAATTATTCCGTTACCTAAAAAAGAACGCCATTAGTAATGCCGTTATACTTAAACGGCATTACTCCCAACACTGTTCGTACATCTCGCGTCTGATTGCCAAACAGCAACACGACTCTTTCACTGCCTTGATGTTTTCTCTTCACAAATAACAGGAGCCTGAATGAGTTCAGCTGTGTGGTGAAGTTGCTAATGCTAAGAGTTAGCTTCTACCAGCCTAAACGTCTTCTGCTCTCTCCTGGATGCTAAATAAACACAACCTTTCACGAATGCGAGCCAGGGTGAGTGGGTCCATGAATGATAGTTTACAGTGTGATGTAGATCTGTGGGGCTTTTTCTGACCAGAGCATTTCCCCGTCTATTTTCTCTTGGGGTTAGGGTTAACCCTAACCCTAATGCAGATAATAGGGGTGGAAGGCGATTTTCTCATTTAGCCAGCATATGAAAATCAGAGTGACTGATCGTATTTCAAAAATAAGAAGTGAACTTGCTCTTTATAGATGAGATAGCTGTGCATCTTCAGCCACTAGCTACACCAATCAATCAATCAACCAATCAATCAACCAATCAATCAATCAATCAATCAATCAATCAATCAATCAATCAATCAATCAATCAATCAGTCAATCAATCAATCAATCAATCAATCATCAATCAAAGCTTTATTTAGATTATTTATTTATTCACCAGATCTTTTACTCTTTATAGCAAAACAAATTCCCTCCCTCAGCTCTTTGTTCTACGTCATCCTCACTTCTACGGGCTGCTCTGTCAAAATGGCTTGCGGCTCCCTGGAACCATGTTCAGCATTAGCGCCTGACTCTAAGTGACACTCGGGACAGGCCATTCAGGCTGGCAGAGAGTTTGATGCTTCGGTACAAGATTTTACACACAGGATGAAATCTATAGGAAGGAAAAACACAGCAGCTGTCTTAATGTTCGAGATGACAATCGTCCGTGACATGGGCTGTCATTACCCTGACAGGACTCTTCGTGTGTGTGTGTGTGTGTGTGTGTGTGTGTGTGTGTGTGTGTGTGTGTGTGTGTGCGCGTGTGTGACTCTGAGAGCAAGCAAGGTAAAAGCCTGAGGCCCCATCTTCTGACTGTCACTGGATTGTTCTGCCATGTGCTGTCATATGTCTTAGTCTGTTATTAGGGCCAGTGACGGACACTGACAGCTCTATGTATTAATGGATAGTGTGACCATTACTGCTAAAATTGGATCTCTGGGATGAAAAGCCACTAGAAACTAAAAACACAAAGGCTTGTAATGGTTTTCTTTAGACAAAACCTGTGAATAAACACGCAGTCACACATATTGTCTATGTGGGTGCTGCAGGAGCTGGAGTGACATTTCAAACTTAACAAGGTCACAAAGTTCCATCTTATCTAAAATGCTAGCATATTTGGTGTGATTTGGAGGTGTGAGGCTAGAGGAATGACAAAACTCACAGGAGGACCATCTTCTCCAGCATCTCCTTTCTCTCCTGGAGGTCCTGCAGGACCACGAAGTCCAGCATCACCTTGCCTGCCTGGAGGTCCACCATCTCCTCTCACACCCTTGGGTCCATCTTTACCAGGAGGCCCCGCTGGACCAGCAGGCCCAGGATTACCCTAATAATAAGATACACATGTTAAAGTGAGAGGGTTTATTTTTGTCATTTATCCTGCTATAAATAACTTTTAATTTGACACTTTACTAATGGACATCAGACTTTAGAGATGCTGCTTAAATATTAATATTTTAAACAACATCCTGCTGTCAAATAAAGCGCTCTGGAAGTGTTTAGCTGCTGGAGTAGTGAGAGTAAATGCTTTATGTTTTCATGTGCAGTAATCAATCAACTAGCATTTACATATACATTATCTACTCTGCTTCATATTAACATAATTCAAATAGCATATTTTATATTTTCTATACTGCTAGTGTAACCGGATTACAGGATACAATAAGATAATTAAAAGAAAAAATAAACAAATGGGCCAATAATTAGGTTCGGGGAGAATTGGAGGTTGTTTAAGAATGACTGGAGTCACGGGTATAGCATGAAACGGTTTATATACTAAATTTTAATAATAATGGGAAATATAACACATAAAGATAACACACAAAAACAGATGAAAACAATCGACAATAGTAAATTGGTCGGTATGAGATTTGATCATATGAGTCACAAGTCAGCCGGCGTCAAGTCAAATCCCCACGCTTGGGGTGAAAGTCAGAGTCCGGTGGTGCGATTTTTTCCTACCGCACCGTTGAGATTGTTCACAGAAGAGAGCAGTCTGCTCTTCAGTTACTTGAGATGTCCTGGTTCGTTCAGTGGTTAAGGCTCGCCATCTCCCTCGTCAGGAAGAAATCCAGTTCTCGTTCCAAGTGAGTGATCATAGGAGTCGGGATCAAACCCAAGGAAAAAAAAAAAACCCAGCCAACGCGCTCCAACGGTTCCCTCCTACAGAGGATTGGTTCACTCTGTCGTCTCCACACAAATCGCGTTGGTTCCAAGTTCCTAGCTCTTATTAGAAGGAGTCAAGTCCGCCTCTCCCTCTATCTATGCGGCACCCAAATCAGGGTTCTTCACGGCCTCGACCGTTGTTTTTTTTTCTCTCTCTCTCTCTCTCTCTAACCGCTCAGTCTTTGCTTTCTGTATCTGCGTGCTGCACAGCCGTTTGTCTCTCCTCTCGCTCAGCTGCGTCGCACGGTTTTATTTCGCGGAGGCGGGACTTATTTCTCTCAGCCAATGAAATTTCAGATTCCCACCTGGACCAATAGTATACAGCTTTCCTCTTCTGTTTCTGTTAGTGATGTTCAAGATTCTTGTTTTACCCGATGTTTAATATTAAACTCGTTATTTTAGTTATTCACCCTTCCAATAATTCATTATGAAATTATCTATTAGTTAATTAGATATCTATTAATTAGTATTGTTAATTTCCTTAATTTATATTTTATATTTTATCTAAATTGAGGATGGATCATATTAGTAAGCCAATTAGTTAATACCTCATTAAGGTTCTAGCTTCTGGGTTACATCCTCCCCCATTAAATATCATGCACGTCCCTGTGCATTGTTTCTACGGGGTACACAACTTCTTGAGTAAGAGAGTCAATAAAAGCTTTATTAAGTCCTTGGAAAAGGGACCTAACTACGGTCACTAGTGGATTGCCCAATTGAGAGTAAGTTAGTCTTTGAGGAGGCTGACTACTTCGTTCAGATCTCCTGACATACATCTCTGGTTGCACAGTATCATGCTCATCCGTTTCGGTTTGATTCTCAACTGAGACAGGACGAAGTGAGCTCTCTGTTTCCGACAGAGCTGATGAGCTATTCTCTAAGACTTTGGTCTTTTCAGATGTATGTGTCTGATCGTGTATGATGGGTTCAAAACTTACATCACGTTGCTGCGACTTTAGGACACCATCCAATTGAGGTAGGTTTGTGTTAGTTTCATCCCCCGTTTCTACGTCAGGTAAGTATACTTCGTTTTTTTTCGTTTTTTCAGGTAAGTATGTTGCTGCTTCTTTCACTCTTTCAGGTAAGAATGTCGCAGTTTCACTCATTCTGTCAGGTAAGAATGTTTCGGTGTTGATGCCTTTGTCAAGTAAGGACAATTCAGCATTTTCATTACCAGCTAAGGTTGGTTCCTTGCGATCCCCTGTGTGTAAGGATAGTGTGTTTTGTTGTTGAATATTATTTACCGGTCCTGAACCTGCTATGAGTTCCCTATTTGGCAAGGTGACCGCTATTTGATAGGATGGTCGGTTTAGCACTTGTGGAAGATCAGAGTAATAAAACTCATCTACCTCTTCGTCAAGTGGCTCATCTGGGTCAGGTTCTAAGGCTGAACTCTGTCTTGTATGAGGTCTGCTAGGTTTCGTAACGCGTTCTGTTTCATTTTCTAATGAAGAGAGAAAACCACAAGGCAGTAAAAGATCTCTGTGGAGTGTTCTGTTGGGTCCTTCTCCGTTCTCTGGTTTTACAGTGTATACTGGCAAGTTTTCCATCTGTTTGAGAACTATATACACTGTTTGCTCCCATTTGTCTGCTAATTTATGCTTTTCTCTTAAGCGAAGATTTCGGACTAAAACACGATCTCCCACACCTAGTGTGGACTCACGAATGTTTCTGTCGAACCGTTCTTTGTTCTTCCTCGCTGTTTTTTGAGAGTTTTTTATGACAATGTCATAACTCTGTTCCAGATGACTCTTCAGTTCTTTAACATACTGAGAATGAGTTATAGAGGGCTTGTTCAAATGCGGTAACCCAAAGGCAATATCTATAGGCAACCGAGGCTGCCTACCGAACATTAGCTCGTAGGGAGAGTATCCCGTCACGTCATTTTTTGTACAATTGTACGAGTGAGTAAGTGGTTTTACAAAATCGCGCCAGTGATGTTTCTCAGTGGCTTGTAAAGTTCCCAACATGCTGAGTAATGTACGATTGTACCGTTCAACGGGGTTGCCACGAGGGTGATAAGGGCTCGTTCTGACTTTACGGATACCAAGTAAAGAACAAAGTTCCTTGATTGTACGTGATTCGAAATCCCGTCCCTGATCACTATGAAGACGCTCAGGAAACCCGTAGTGGACTAAAAAATGTTCCCACAGGTTCTTCGCGACGGTGGTGGCTTTCTGATCTTTGGTTGGGATGGACACTGCATACTTTGTAAAATGGTCTGTAATCACTAAGACATCTTTAGTGTTCTTACTGTCTGGTTCTATGGAGAGAAAATCCATGCAAACTAACTCCATAGGTCTGGTGGTGGTAATACTCACCATTGGAGCAGCTTTGTCAGGGAGGGCCTTCCGACGGATACATCTTTCGCAAGTTTTAACTTTGATTTCGATATCACTAGCCATTCTTGGCCAGTAAAAACGGGACCGAATGAGATCTGTCGTACGTTCAACCCCAAGATGCCCCATATCATCATGTAGGCTTTGCATGACTGTTGAACGTAATGAATCAGGCAAGACTAACTGCAATGATGTCTCTGGTCCTAATTGGCGTCTCCGGTACAGTAAATCATTTTGAAACTCAAACCGTTTCCACTCTCTCAAAAGGTTAAGAACCACCGGGGGTTCTGCAATAGTATCAGTTGGCGGTTTATTGTCAGTCATAAGCAGCTGAATGACTCGGCCAATGGTTGGATCTTTCCTCTGCAAGGAGACAAGGTCAGCATGGTTATACTTGGGCACAGCAAAGAAACTGTCACTATTGTCTTCCAACTGGAATAGGTCTGGAATGGCCGCTGCAGACATGGCAAGTGACTGAACTAAAACACAAGGAGAATCAGTCTCATCCAAGACCATGTGCTTTTGGCATGTTGCCTTCACTGCTTCGGCTTGAAGTTGAAGCTCGACTTCTTTGACAGAGGATAAAAGATGAGATCGGAACTCATCTAGTCGTTGGCATTCCTCAGTGAATTTTGAGTTGTCTTCAGGTTTATCATGCAGCCTCCTAGACAGGCCATCCGCGTCAACGTTCTGTGTACCTGCACGGTATCTGATGTCAAAATTATAGGTGGACAACGCAGCTAGCCAACGATAGCTCGTTGCATCGAGTTTTGCCGTTGTTAAGAGGTAAGTTAACGGATTATTATCAGTAATGACAGTGAATGTGTTCCCATACAAATAGTCATGAAACTTATCTGTTATGGCCCACTTTAAGGCTAGAAACTCCAACTTGTGCGCAGGGTACCTAGTTTCACTAGAGCTTAAACCGCGACTTGCATAAGCGATTACCTGTGTGACACCGTTTTGCACTTGGTATAGCGCTGCACCGAGTCCGGTCGTACTAGCATCTGTGTGTACTAGATATGGGAGTTTTGCGTCAGCGTAGCCAAGAACTGGCGAAGTGGTAAGTTTTTCAATAATAGTTTGAAAGGACTTCTCACAGTCTTGGCTCCAACGATTCCCAAAGGGTTCTTTGGGGTTCAAGTACTTTGATCTACATGGTGGTGTTTTAAAGTTTTTCCGTTTGGGTGGATAACCAGCCGTGAGAGATGTTAGTGGCTTGACAATATTTGAGTAATCTTTAACGAAGCGTCGGTAATAACCGGTAAATCCTAAGAAAGATTGGAGTTCCTTCAAAGTCTGAGGCTTCGGCCATGTTTTGAGTGCTTCCACCTTATCTGGATCGGTTTTTATGCCATCTCGAGATACTATATGTCCAAGATAACGCACAGATGTCTGGAAAAAACGACACTTATCTGGTGATAGCTTGAGTCCGTATTCTCTAAGCCGTTCAAGAACGTGAGAAAGTCTGGTTTCGTGTTCTTCCAAGGAGTTGGAAAAGACGATCAAGTCGTCTAGGAAAACTAACACTTCCTTCAGATTAATGTCCTTCATACACTTTTCCATAACCCGTTGGAAAGTGCTTGGAGCATTTGTTATTCCTTGTGGCATACGGTTAAATTCATAAAACCCAAACGGGCAAACAAAAGCAGTTTTAGGTTTATCCTTTTCACACATCTCTATTTGATAGTAACCTGACTTGAGGTCCATCACAGAAAACCACTGTGATCCAGCGAGAGCAGAAAAGGACTCCTCCAAGTTAGGCAGGGCATATGCGTCGCGAATGGTTTGCAGATTAAGCTTTCTATAGTCTATACATAGACGTACCTCACCATTCTTTTTCCGAACTACCACTATTGGTGAGGCAAATGGAGACTCCGACTCTCTTATTATACCGGTTTCCAAGAGGGCTTCCAAATGTTTTCTCACGGCTTCATAATCATGTGGATGGATCGGCCGAGATTTCTGTTTGAATGGGGTCTCGTCTTTTAAGTTGATGTGATGTCTTATCTGTTGTGTATGACCAAAATCAAGATCGTGGTGCGAAAACACATCGGAGTAAGTGTTAAGTTTGTTGGTGATCCTCCCTTTCCATTCTTCGGACAAGGGCGAAGTACCGAAGTCAAAACTGAGAGGAGGGTTTGAAGGTGAAGTCTGTTGCTGCGAACTACACGCCGCAAGTACTTTCTGATCACTTTTGTCAGGTTCTGGATATGGCATAACACGATCGGCTTTAACTAACTCAGCGATCACACAGTTAGTGGGTAATGTGATGTCATGGTTAGTTTCGTTTCTTAGTACAACAGGTACTTTGTATGGACCATGTGAAGGTAAGGAAATGAGGCAACAGTCTACAATTATACCCCCTGGTAGAGAACCATTGGTGGGTTGTTCAATGAGTGCATAAGGCTCATGCTTGTTTTGGCTGGGTTGCATAAACCCTTCTAGTAACAGTTTTTTATTTGCAGGGAGAACTTCTTGGGTTCTCCCTCGAAGCTTCACCACACCAACTCGTCCATCTTTGCTTTGTTTTTTTCTGACTGCTAAGGCTTTTAGCACGTGTTGGTACCCATAAGAGAGTGCCTTGGAATCAGGTAAGTTATTGGCAGACAATTGCTCATACAAAGGATCGAGTGTGTTTGTGCCAATGAGTAGTGGTGTATCAGAGTTTGAGCTTATATCCGGAACCACTAACGCAAGGGTAGGTAACTCAAGTCCAGACTGATCGAGCTCTTTTGGAAATGTGACACTTATCTCTATGTATCCTAAATAAGGAACTGCTTGACCGTTTGCGCCCTCGACTTCTAACAGATTACTGATGGGTTTAATTGAGAGGTCAGGTAAGTGTTCTTGGTAAAAAGAATTGGCAATGGTGGTTACCTGGGACCCTGAATCCAGTAAACAATTACATTCAACACTGTTAACTGAGACTGTAGCTGTGCATCGCCCACCCACTAATCTTTTGGGAAGTTTTGGCACTGAATGAGCATGAACTGGCTTGCAAAAAAGTCTCTCTGTCCTTTCCTTAGAGGGACTTGGTTCTACTTTAGCACCTATCTGTCCCACGATAGGAGCTTCTACCGGTTTAAAGGAGGAGACTGAGCAATTGGCTTTGACATCTCCCACTCGCGCTGCTTCTGTCTAAGAGCAAGTCTTTTAGTTGCAACTAGTGCTGGATTTGGCTCGTTGCTACAGCTAGAAGCTATGTGCCCATCTTCTCCGCACTTAAAACAGTATCCAGGCTTTGGTCTGGGCACCACTGCTGTTATCTGCTGAATCTGTTTGGGCTCATCTGGAATTTTAGTCCCCACACGGGGTTTTGACTCTTTTTGAGTTTTCTTTGCCTTTTTATCTGTGTTGTTAACCTTAAGCTGTGCAATTTGGCTCCTGAGCTCAGCGATTTGTTTGCGTAAGTCATCACAGTTATCATCTATTTCCAGTTCACAAGTGTTTTTACTCTGAGAGCATGTTGTTTGCACATTTGAATACACTCTAGTTCGTTGTGCCCCTAAGTGTTGTTTCATGCGTGCTGCTTTAGTAGCCTGTTTGTCTTCTTCAGTGCGCAGTTTGAGGAGAAGTGCTGTAAAATGAGGCGGGTTGTCTTTCTTTTGTTCGAGTTGCAGGGTTGAAATCAGCGAGCTGTCCCAACAGCCTCTGCAAAACTGCTTGAGCAGCTGCTGGTCGGCGTCACTGGAGGAAATTCCATTCCTCTGAATAACTAGGTTTAACAAGGTGTATAACCTCTGAAAGTAATCGGAAGGTTTTTCACCACTGTCCTGGTTTGTGTTTAAGAAGCGAGCAAAGAGCTCGTCGCCGTCTTCGACAGCTGCGTAAGCTGAATCGAGATGTTCAAGGTACGTTTCCGGGTCGGATTTTGGACTAAGAGCTTTAACGATGCTCGCTGCTGGGGCTGACAGGCTCTCCACGATTCTTCGTACAATTTGGGACTTGGTGAGTGAAGGATCATTTATGCATAACACTACACTACTACGCCAAGTATCATAGTCAGTTTCAAAAGAAGGGTGTGGAACTCGCCCTGAGAACGGTTTTAGTCTGTATTGTGAAGTAGGCGGAGGGATAACCTCACTGCTTTTAACAATGTGTTCCACAATAACTCGCTGAACCTCAGGTGTGTTTAAAAGATTTGGTGGAATGCAAGGGTTTTGTTTTCCAGTCTCTGTAGGTGGACAATTGTCCTTTGAGTTGTTCATATAGTTAACTTCTGGTGTTAAAGGCAGGGAATATGTAACTTGGTCACTATGGAGCATTGGCTCTGGTTCAGTGACTGGTTCAGATGCATGGGTATCCCTTCCTAAAGATTCCCCAATTTTTGCCAGTTCCTCCATTAGAAGGTCTTTAAATGATTGATTGCTACGCGCAGCTATGTCCCTGAGCTCTGACAGATAGGCATCAGTGGCAGATGTGCTAGTTTCTAGACTGTACGCGCTGGCTAGGTCTTGAATATGAAAGAAAACATCTGGGTTCCTAGTACAAGGTTTGTCATAGGGTAAACATTGTTTCTTTAATTCCTTAACAGTGGCTTCATGTTGAAACTCCACAATAATCTGATCACAGTTTGGTAACTTAATGCGCCTGTTAACTGGTCCGAATCCTTCCATAAACCCAAAGACTTCGTTATCAAGGTCTGTATCAGTTAACCCACTGATTAAAACAGCATTTGAAACTTTGACCTTTTCTGTTTTCACAACTTCCATTTTAAAACACTCAAAAGTACCAATAATGCCAAAATGGCAAACCACTGTGACCTCCAGGCACTCTTATGATGTCAGTCAATGGTTAGCTAAGGTAACAACTCTACAATTCTCCTGGCTGGCTCGCCAAGTTTTATGTAACCGGATTACAGGATACAATAAGATAATTAAAAGAAAAAATAAACAAATGGGCCAATAATTAGGTTCGGGGAGAATTGGAGGTTGTTTAAGAATGACTGGAGTCACGGGTATAGCATGAAACGGTTTATATACTAAATTTTAATAATAATGGGAAATATAACACATAAAGATAACACACAAAAACAGATGAAAACAATCGACAATAGTAAATTGGTCGGTATGAGATTTGATCATATGAGTCACAAGTCAGCCGGCGTCAAGTCAAATCCCCACGCTTGGGGTGAAAGTCAGAGTCCGGTGGTGCGATTTTTTCCTACCGCACCGTTGAGATTGTTCACAGAAGAGAGCAGTCTGCTCTTCAGTTACTTGAGATGTCCTGGTTCGTTCAGTGGTTAAGGCTCGCCATCTCCCTCGTCAGGAAGAAATCCAGTTCTCGTTCCAAGTGAGTGATCATAGGAGTCGGGATCAAACCCAAGGAAAAAAAAAAAACCCAGCCAACGCGCTCCAACGGTTCCCTCCTACAGAGGATTGGTTCACTCTGTCGTCTCCACACAAATCGCGTTGGTTCCAAGTTCCTAGCTCTTATTAGAAGGAGTCAAGTCCGCCTCTCCCTCTATCTATGCGGCACCCAAATCAGGGTTCTTCACGGCCTCGACCGTTGTTTTTTTTTCTCTCTCTCTCTCTCTCTCTAACCGCTCAGTCTTTGCTTTCTGTATCTGCGTGCTGCACAGCCGTTTGTCTCTCCTCTCGCTCAGCTGCGTCGCACGGTTTTATTTCGCGGAGGCGGGACTTATTTCTCTCAGCCAATGAAATTTCAGATTCCCACCTGGACCAATAGTATACAGCTTTCCTCTTCTGTTTCTGTTAGTGATGTTCAAGATTCTTGTTTTAACCGATGTTTAATATTAAACTCGTTATTTTAGTTATTCACCCTTCCAATAATTCATTATGAAATTATCTATTAGTTAATTAGATATCTATTAATTAGTATTGTTAATTTCCTTAATTTATATTTTATATTTTATCTAAATTGAGGATGGATCATATTAGTAAGCCAATTAGTTAATACCTCATTAAGGTTCTAGCTTCTGGGTTACACTAGACACAAATTATATTTGTCTTCTGGCTAAAACACACAAGCATTACTTCAGCTGGATGGATGAAACAATCAAGACACTTACATTTGGACCAGGAGGTCCAACTCGACCCGCAGCACCAGGGAAACCAGTCGCACCCTAAAAGGGAAATCATGATTCAGATGCGTAACGGTGTAGCATCTTCTATTGAGACATTTAAAAGCAGTAAAATCAAAAGCTCACGCACAGAAGGTCCCTGAGCACCACGAGCACCTTTAGGTCCAGAGACTCCTGTAGGACCCTGAAACAAGAAACATTTGCTTTACAATGTGACGTTTTGTTTTCCGTTTCATCTGCAGTTTATTTATTTATTTATTTGTGCTTTGTGTTGCACAATTTCTGACAAGGTCATCTGTCACTCTGACTTGCTGTTAAATCATAAACGTTCAGCAAAGAGATAAAAAGAATGTTTCAGCTGAATCCTGCATACACCTCCTTTCATCGCTTAAATGTCAGTCGCTCCATGCCTGTTTTGATGTTTAATGCTCAGTTAGAATGAAACATAATTTTTTATATATTTTTAGGCACGGTTGGGGAAACAAATGTACATTTTTGTTGCGAACAAATTAATCACTGAATCAAAGCCAGCATAGTGACACTTACTGCAGGTCCTGGAGCACCAGATGGTCCTTGGGGTCCGGGGGAACCGGCATCTCCTTTTTGTCCAGATTCTCCCTGCTCTCCTTTGGTTCCAGGTTGCCCATCAGCACCCTGAAAGAAAACAGGTAGATTGTCAATTTTACTGAGCTTTTACCAATTAGTCACGGAAGTGAGGAAGAAAAAGATGGAAACTCGTTTAATCAACACATTCGCAGTTGTTTCTAGTAAGAATAAACGCCTTGCAAGCTGTACTCAGGGCAAAAAAGCCCAGAAACGCCTACATCAGCACGGACAAGTCTGCCAAACACGGCAAGATTTGGAGTCTTATTTCCTGATATTTGGACTTCTTGCCTCGGATTGGACAACAGCAACACGGCTCATTTGCTCCCTTTTATCTCCACAAATAACACAAGCCTGGAGGTGTTCTGCTGTGTGGTGGAGTTGCTAACAGTTAGCTACTACTAACCACAATGTTCTCTGCTGATTCTGGATGGTAAAACAACAACAGCCTTCCCTGTCGCGAGCCAGTATGATGGGTGAGTCCAAGCGACCACTTGATGTATATCGGTCCTATTTTTCAAATCCTAGCATTTCAATGTCTTTTCCATCAGAAGCAAATGAAGGAGATACATGTAGGAGACTATTTTCATGTTCAGCCTGCATGAAAAAGTCAGAGTGACTGATTAGAATCAGAAATAATCAGTAAAAATGATTTGTCTGTGAACCACACCTTTAAGAAATGAAATATTGAATTTACTTAATCAAGCAATGCCAACTGGACTGAACATCCGTTTGTTGGTCTCAACGAACCGCTGCTCTTCCATGGGTCCTCCATATTCTCATGTATTTAGCAACACAACACCACTGGTGTGAGAGGTTCTCTGCCCAATAATATCAGAGAAGGAGAAAGAGCCGGCTGCTACCACTTCAACTTTAGGACAAAACCAGAGTCCCTAAAAGAAAAAACACCATTTGAAGTTACGAACAACAAAAGACGTTTGGACCTAGAAAAGAGCGAGTGGTGTTTAGCATGTTCTCGTTTCCTCTGGCATCGCAGGTTACCGATTCGGTTAAAAGCGTCTCAGGGAAGATACCTGATGGGAGGGTAAAAACAAAGTATAGCTGCAGCAGATTAGCTCCTCTGACAGACTTGAAGGATATGTTGACAACCTCCTTATATAAAAAGAAATCAGTCTTCAATGAAGCTGCTTCTGATTTCAGAAGCATACATGTTTGTTTTCTGCCTGTGATGACAAATGGTGATCTTGCAGTTTAACCACGTTGAAGTGGTATACACACAGACATAAAATCTATAATTCATCATAGTGTAGCCTGGAGAGAAAAACCTCCTTGAGATGAATCGTGTTGTGAGAAACAGATTGATTTAATCCATTAAGAAGGATATGGTTGAATGAAAGCATTTGTTTGATGTCTGTCTGGAGTCTTTGGGAAAAGAGCAAACTATAGTAAGATTACTGAAAACTTTATTCACAATTATCCACCGAGGAAACGTGACAGCATGATTAACGGTTGTAAAGAACTTCAGGTACGGCAGCTTGACATCTGAGTGCTTTCAGATAGAAGCATCTCAATTTAACAAAGAAAAACCCAATTTTTTATAGCAGAATTTTTATGTTTAAAATATGTAAAAGCCCTTTGTGGAAAATAAAGCTTGATGGAAAATTATTCATTGTAAATTGGTTCAATGATAAGTGGGCTGGGAAATCTTCCTTCTAGAGGTTCAATGTAACATTTTACTTTTATTCATTTATATAATCAGAATTTCATGATGCAGGAGGAAATTATAACATAATCTCTTACCAGGAAACTGGAATAACTGGGCACAAATTATCATAAAAAGATTCCAAAATCTCCTCAGATGTTTTATGAGAAATGTGATTTTAGTGGCCACCAAAATTCATTTAAAATTTAAAACAACTCATTTGTTAAAAGCTGTGAAAAAAATGTAAATAAAAGCTGCTCATAACAAAAATAGCGCTGAAAACATTTCACATGACACACTGAAACCACATCTCCAAGCCCTCATGCAGCTAAGCATCATATGTGCCATGGAAATGGGTGAATGATCTCAGAGACGATGGAGATGAAGAGAGAAGCATATTGTTCATTAAAGGAACAAAATATGAAATAATGTAATTTACAGCTTTTTCTCTGGGCTACAGAAAGGTAAATATTTACTTCAGGGACAAATTTTCAAGCAATGGGATTGAACGATCTCTAAGAACATGGATGAATAGCTAACGCTTCACAGTTTTACAGATTTTGGGAAGTAAGACCAGATGTTTCATGCACGGCATTGTTTACCCTCCCACTGTCTTTATGGGTGACCTAATATGGGATGGGAGCTGGTGTTCACTCCTCACCCCTGCCACATGGACCCAAGGGATAAACCATCAATCCTGCTCAGAGGTCAACTTTCCTCGCGAGGTCACACCCATTAGGACAGTGGGAGACAGGGAGACAATTCTACGCATTTTACAAAAAATCAATTAATAATAATAACAAATACTTAATTTCAGTTCAGTTTCTTGCCCAGGGACTCTTCATTCAACACGTGGCCAGCTGGGGCCTGAGATCAGACCACTCACCTTCCAGTCAGTCTCCCTTTTCTGCCACGGCCACCATTTTTAATGATCATGTAGCGTAATAATTAAAAAAGAATTTGAACTTGTTTTATTGAGCACATGTTCAAGATCACAGGAAAATAAAGTTTAACAATAGCAGTGTGTGAATGTGAGAGTGCATGCAAGCGTCTTTGAGTGTCCTAAACAAGTGCTATATAAGTTCAATGTATTATTAATGACTGGATCAAATGCAGCAAAGCACACGTTTTCTTCTGGTTTCTGCCATCTGACACTTTGGACTAATGTTTTAATTCAAACTTACTGGTGGTCCAGCGAAGCCAGCAGGTCCAGGAGGTCCAGTCTCACCCCTGTCACCCTTAAGGATGAAGAGAGAAGTAACACAGAGTTTAGGGTAAGTCAGACAAACACAAATTTAAGTAGTCTTAACTGAGCATAGAAGCATCTTTAAACACACTAGAGGCTTTTTTTTTAAAGAATAGATCTTTTATTTCTTAGAATAAGGGTTATATTATCATATAATCTATGCAGATCAAAAGATTCTAGGTTCGGTTCCTGGCTGGCTCGCCATTAAAATGTAGCGTTATGGATTGTCTACATTTATAACAAATGATCCACAATATGTGATAATTCCGTAAAAATATGAAATATCAGTCTGATTGATCTTTCAATGTTTAAACAGAAGATTATAGTTTCTAGCTGGCTCTCGAACCGGCCAGTTCGGGAACAAGCATTTTAAAACCATCCTATCTTTTGACCTCGGGTCAAAACCTCTCTGAGACGCTTGGTGATACATGACAAAATGGCTCTTCTAAGAGCCAACGAACAGCCTGAGATGCAAACAAGCATTCCAGCTTCTTGTCATCAGCTGGAGAGATCTCAGACTAGATGGGTCCTATCAGAGCTAATCTACGGGTTCCTGATACCGAGAGGTTCACTCCACCGGCAGTGTCCGTCACAACCTCTTGACCCCCTGGATCACTCGAGAATCTCCAAACACGGGTGCGTAGACTCGGCACAAATTTTGTCAGATGGTTTTATTTAATATTTTTTGGTACTAGTCTACAGTAAATATCCTTTTCTGATTAGGTACATAAAGTCTTTTTTATCATGTTGAAGACATTTTGTTTTAAAACTTACAGGAGCACCACGGACACCAGCAGCTCCAGAAGGTCCAGCAGGTCCAGATTCGCCCTACAAGAAGCATCAAACCATCAGTACAAAGCTACAGGCAGCTGCTAGGCACACATTCTTGGACCACCATCCTGCTGATGTAGAACTAAGGAACTAGCACTGACCTTCTCACCATTAGGACCAGAAGGACCAGGAGGACCAATGGGACCAGTGAGACCCTGTAACAGAGATAAAATATTGGAAAACCAGTATGGATGTTTCAATCACGTTTTTTTGATCCCGATCCGATGCCGAGTCATTTGATTTCGAGTATCTGCCAATACAGAGTTCCAAGCCGATACTTTTCAGGAAAGCATTAAAATAAGAACAAAACACATCCAAGTTGTCCTTTAAATGGTAAATGCTAATCAGCTTGTGTATGTGTAGTGCCTTCTTAGGGTTCTACAACCCCCCAACGCACTTCACAACTCAATCAGTCATCCACACGTTCACATGCCGGAGGGGATGAGCTACGATGTAGCCACAGCTGCCCTGGGGCGCACTGACAGAGGCGAGGCCTGCCATACGCTGGCGCCACCGGTCCCTCTGACCACCACCAGCAGGCAAGGTGGGTTAAGTGTCTTGCCCAAGGACACAACAGCAGCATTTTCTGGTGGGAGCCGTGATCGAACTTGCAACTTTCCAATCACTGGACAACCCGCTCTACCTGAGCTACTGCTGTCCCTAAGTTTCACTTTCACTTGTTTAGGAAGTACACTGATTAGTATTAAAAACATGTTTAAAAGTAGCAGCACTGCTCATATTTCAAGTTGTTGAGCGATGCACATTCCTGTGACGGGGCAGGCAAGCAGAGCCTCGGCCGGCAAGTTAACTTTTCCTTGCATAACACCTGTAGCCACCGGGGCAGCTCGGGTGCTGTTTCACAGTCTACCGGCAAATTGTCTTTGTTTATTAGCGTATCTTTCTCTGTCAGTTTGCTTTGAGATTTTGTTTGTTTGCTGTGAACTGTAACTGTTAGTGGCAAACTGGGAATTAATTGAGACTGGTGATTCGCCCGAAGAGAAAAGCCTAATGTGAAAGTAGTCTGTTTTAAAAGCAGCGAATCATGGAGTTCTGTCTTTTTCAGCATATTGAATACCTAGTATGCCCACATTACAAGTGGTGGTAGCTCAGCCTTCACTTTCCAGTTTAAAATACCACCAAGCTCCAGACATATTAGCTCTCCTGAGGAGACACATTAGCTCTGCATTGCCTGCTTGCTATCAGCTGCATCTGAATCCCTGCCTGCCATAAATTGTGTTGTTACTGTGCTGTTTTCATACAAGAAACAAAGAATATTGATATAGAGGAACTTGTTGAAAATAACTGATGATTAAAACTAAGCCATTGTTGTTCCATTTGAAAATCTCTATCTAAAGATTAATTTTAAAAGTCATGTTTTTTATTTAAAAGGTTAAATCCGATCTTTTTCTTCCGAGGGACTTTTGTTGTGCAAATATTCATTCTTTGCATTAACTAAATATGTGAGGCCTTTTTTCCTATTTTCAGTATTCAATGCTTCCTGTTGTTCATGAAACCTAAAATAAATGAGAACAACTCACTCTGGAACCATCTTTGCCAGAAGCACCTTCTGGTCCTTTCTCTCCAACATCACCCTGCAGGGATTAAAGCAAAAAAAGAACAATCAGCACCTGGTGAGCGGTCCAAGTAGATAAAATACGACATAATTAAATAGCACATATTAAATTTTTTTCAGACTTAATTTAAATCAGAGCTTACTCTGTCTCCTTTGGGTCCCGGAATGCCAGCACTTCCTCTCTCTCCGGGCATACCCTGCAGACCTGGAGGCCCCTGAGCACCCCCACTTCCAGCAGGTCCAATGGCTCCCTGTTGACAATTATAAAAAAGAAATTATTTAGTGCCACTGACTCAGAGAGTTAGGACAATAACAGAACTTATCTTTTAGTAGGTACTGTTTTAGCAGGTGTCTTTAAAAATATTGAAATGAGACTTTGAAAAATATTTTTCACATTTAGGGTTGCTTTTGAGAAGCCCTTTGTTTGTATTTTAATGTAATAAATCAAAATAATCTCTATGCATAAAAAGAAATGTGACTTTTGAAAAAAGGAATTACACTAATCTCTGTTAGGGCAGGTTGTGTTCAGCAGATAAAAAAAGTTCAACTTCTGCTGAATCTAAAGATTTAAAACAACCAATTAGTCATTATTCCAGAAAAAAAACTATTTTACATGAATGCACCTTAAATTCTGTATTAGTAAGATAACAAGAGGCATTTATCAGAAGACAATCTATTCTATTCAGATCAAAACCAAGCAAATGAAAGCATATGTAGACTTTTGATTTTTTTTTTCAAAAGGAGCTCCAGCAGGCCGACTCCTGATCAGGACTTGAAAGGCTTGTCATCAGGGCTTCCTGCAGCAGCCTGAGATGCACAAACAGAAACTCGGTATCTGCTTCCTATGTGGAGTCATTAGAGCCAACAGCAGGACTCACAAATGCAATATTTGGCTGCTGCTGCTCAGAGGCTGCAGTTTATTTGAACTTAAAGGGGCAGATGACAGATGCACAGAGCAGTGAAGCTTGTGTGAAAAATCCTTCAGCTTTAATACCACCTAAAGCCCCCCCAACACACACACACACACACACACACACACACACACGCACGCACGCACGCGCGCGCACACACACACACACACACACACACACACACAATCATGTTGGCTCTAATCCTCACCCTCTCTATCTGCTCCTCTCTGACCTTATAGGGGAAAAATCTATAAACTGGGATTAAAATCTGAGCTGATAAACCAAAAAAATGGGAATTGCCATTGCTTTGAGCTCTTTCTCTGCTCACTAAGCAGTAGTGACAAACTACTGCTGTGGCTGGAATTCCTGACAAGGAAATGAAGATGCATCACACTGTTATTGGGAATGGAAACATTTATTTTGATATTTTTAGCTATTTGGGACTGTTTGACAAAAACGTTTAACATTTTCCCAACCTGCATACTTAAAGGGGCACTTCATAGTTTTTTCTTAAGTTTTAATAGTTCCATGGTCAATATAAAACATTTTTATGAAGTTCTTTGCACATATTACCTCTCATATAAAGGCCTTCCAAGAGTTTTATTCATAATATTTTAAGTAATGTCCAGGATTAATCGTTTCAGTCACTTTAAGAAAAACTAGCTATTGCTGGCCATGCCCACCCATCTCCCACTCAGGCTGCTATTAGCCAAGAAGCTCTGATATCTGGAAGGGACTCAAAGGGGCTCTCTCGCACGTGAGAGGTGGTTCTATGCTATTTTTCCCACTTTTGACATCACAAAAGGGGACTTTTTAAATGGCTTGTTTTAGGCACATTATTTGAACACCTCGCCTTTGATTGGTTACCAGCAAAGTGACTCTACCACCGACTTCCATTTGCTCTGCAATGTTGATGTTTTATCTTCACAAATAACACAAGCCTGAAGGAGTTCTGCAGTGTGGTGGAGTTGCTAATGCTAATCATTAGCTTCTACTAATTGAGACGTTCTTTGTTGTTTCCTGGACTCTAAACCAACAACAGCCTTCCCTGTCATGAGCCAAGATGGGCGAGTCCATGAATGTTAAGTGACAGTGTGACATAGATCTGTCAGGATTTTGTAATCCTAGAGTTTCACCGCCTATTTTCATCAGAAGCTAAAGCAGGAGATAGGTGTAGGAGACTATGTTTATGTTCAGCCTGCATGAAAAACTCAGAGTTACTTATCATTTTCATCAGCAATAAGTAAAAACCGGTTTGAAATAATTAAAATGTCCAAATATAAAAATGTTATATACACAATTCTATAATGTGCTGTTAGCAGAAAATGTCATTAAATATACGTTCAGATACTGTTAATCTGCTGTAGATGGTTAATTTAGGTCTTTTTCTTTTACTTTCCACATTTTGTTAACCCCACACACAATGAGCTGAGGACCGGCAAAAGGTGAGTTAAAAAGCAGCAAAAGTCCTAAAAAAATTAAACTTTTAGAAAGTCTCCAGAACTGTTGGTTAAGACCAATTTAAAAGATTATAAATCCAACATATTGGAAGCAAAGTAGATAAATTAGGATTATAATTCAAACTGTATAACAGTGGTCCTGAACTGAACTCATACCAGTTTGGCTCTGACAAGCTCCTTACTGTAAAACCGGTAATCCTCAACCACTGTAACGCCTAAACTAAATTATTTCCTAAATCCAGGGGTGAAAAAAGGACAAAGTCAGAAAACCCAGCTGAACTTCATAAAGCACAAACCCAATTTCTGCTTTGCACTCTTGCTAATCGTTTCAGACCTAGAAACTCTAATTTAAGAAGTTCTGCCTTTGAGCCTCGGAAAAACCCAAAAGTTAATTCCTTTTATGAGATGAAATGTTCATCAACAAGAGGACCGGACAGAGGTGCTGCTTCATGACCCAAATGTAACGCAGACTTCCACCAGAGTGTTATCCTCAGTGACAGCTCACAGGAGGACTCTGGATTTAGATTAAGTGACAGGTTTAGGGGGCATACCAAAAATATATTTCTATAATTAAACACTAAATCCACGTAAGTCAGTTTAACAACCCTTGAGGCGTTTATGTTGCTTGATGCAATAATAGTATGAAAGCTTTATTATTTTAGCAATGTGACTAAACTTCCTAATTAAAATGTAACCATTGATCCTAAGTTGGTGGACTCACTTTGGGTCCGTCAGTTCCAGGAGTTCCAGGCAGGCCTCTGGGTCCCTGCAGACCCTGAGGGCCAGCAGCTCCTCTCTCTCCGGGGAAACCTCGCTCACCCTGTTAAAAAAGGTCACAGCAATAATTACCAACAGTCCTGATAATCATACAAATATTTTTTTAATTTAATCAGCCAAGGACTGTTGACTTACTCTGGGTCCGGTGGCACCAGCGGGTCCCCCCTCTCCAGGAACACCCTTAAACATAAGAAAAGAGAAGATTAGAGCGCAATAAATCACAGCTCTCTTATAGCCAGACAGAGAGATTTCATCATGCATATCTGTTGTATACCTTAAAACAACAATCTGGAGTTTTCCCCGCTTCCGGAACTATTTATGATAGGATTTATTTTAGATATCCCTACAGTACTGTACTGTGATATAATGTAGGTAAAATGCCAATTTTGTTTTGCTGAGGTCATCCCCTTTCCATAGAGCCCCATGCAATTAAATTGAGCACAACTCAGCATTAACCATTAGTGTTAAACATCCACCTACAGATGTCAATCACAGAGCATGCATGAGCGTTTGTGAAAGTACCTGGACTGATGCAGAGTAAGTGACATTTTTTATGGACAAGTATGTGTGTATATATATATATATATATATATATATATATATATATATATATATATATATATATATATATATACATACATATATATATATATATAAAACATCTCAAAGTTTGCTTAACTTTGTGCACATTTTTCTATCAACCTTTTCACCAAGTAATGCAGTTTTCAGACCCCGATTTGTGCATAAGCAAGCATTATAAATGAGGCCTCAGATTGTTAACATTGAGCCTGCCTATTGACATAAGTGTATGTGCAACTTGGAGGGTAACATTTTAGAAAAAAGTCTGCAATAAAGCTTTTAGTACTGCTACCATCTCTGCTAGCACATTGAGGACATTTTAGTCATATTTCCTCAGACACTTGCACCAACCTGGTCTCCAGGTTTGCCTCCCTCTCCAGGAGGGCCAGGAGGTCCAGGAAGACCCTGCACATGGGGCAGAAACAGAAACAGTCAGTGAGAATAATCCCTAAGAAAGCCAGGATAACCGTAGTAGCCAAAATGAACCACCATACCCCCTAGAGGCTGGCTGCAGTACAGTAAGTTTTAGGTCCCTTGAAAATGTTTTTCTCTTTAACCGTCTCAGGCTCGAAATAAGTTTTGATAAAAGGACGAACAACTAAGTCCTTCAGGGGTACTCCTGAGTTAAAAAATGCTCATGAAATACGTATGTGGAGTAACCAGGTAGGTGGGTTTTAACTGTTGCATATCGGCAACGCCTGCCTCCAGAGGGTTAAACATTGATTGTTATCAGAAAGCCTTGCTGAAATGGAACTATTTTATGCAACATTCTGAGAAATATCAGAATAAAGAGAGTGCATGTTTTAATTTAGTCTTTAGTTAATAAGTAAGAGTTTAGTTGATATACTTTTATGTAAAGTTTCTCACAGGCACTAAAGTCTAAATTATACTTCTCCATCTGCGTCGGGACAGACGGACACAATGCCATTATCCGTCCTTGAGAGCCTCGAGTTCTCTTTTCTAAACATCCATCCGTCGAGACAGAGAACGCAAGCTTGTGATTTATCAGGGCACCACTGTGGTCTACACCGCCACCATTGCGCCTTCAAAAACAAAGAGAGCCGAGAATATCTAGCGACAGACATGGAGCAGTTTGAAGAACACCTCACGGAAAAACTCTAAAATATGAACGTTTAATCCCCCCGTGTCTGGAGGAGAGAAAAGCAGGCAAGAATTTTATTCGTGGACAGAAATTATGGGAAACCTGGGTTTAGAGGTGACGAGTGTATGAAGAGGTGGAGGAGAATGAGGGACAAATTTGTCCGCGTAAAAGAGTCTCTTGAATACAATAAATAAATAAATGAATAAATAAATAAATAAATAAATAAATAAATAAAATAAAAATAAAAACCACAATATAAACACACTATTTTGGACTGAATACATGACAGGATACCACAGAACAGTGCTACACCCTTTGTTGTCCTGGCGGGGAACTGCTTTGCAACACTCCCCAAGAGACGGAGAAGTCGTCGTCGTCGTCTTCCTCCGCTTATCCGGGTCCAGGTCGCGGGGGCAGCATCCCAACTAGGGAGCTCCAGGCCGTCCTCTCCCCGGCCTTGTCCACCAGCTCCTCCGGCAGGACCCCAAGGCGTTCCCGGACCAGATTGGAGATGTAACCTCTCCAACGTGTCCTGGGTCGACCCGGGGGCCTTCTGCCGGCAGGACATGCCCGAAACACCTCCCCGGGGAGGCGTCCAGGAGGCATCCTGACCAGATGCCCAAACCACCTCAACTGGCTCCTTTCGATCCGGAGGAGCAGCGGTTCTACTCCGAGTCCCTCCCGAATGTCCGAGCTCCTCACCCTATCTCTAAGGCTGAGCCCGGCCACCCTACGGAGGAAACTCATTTCGGCCGCTTGTATCCGCGATCTCGTTCTTTCGGTCATTACCCAAAGCTCATGACCATAGGTGAGGATTGGGACGTAGATCGACCGGTAAATCGAAAGCCTGGCTTTCTGGCTCAGCTCCCTCTTCCCCACGACAGATCGGCTCAGCGTCCGCATCACTGCAGACGCCAAACCAATCCGCCTGTCGATCTCCCGATCCCTCCTACCCTCACTCGTGAACAAGACCCCGAGATATTTAAACTCCTCCACTTGAGGTAGGACCTCTCCCCCGACCCAGAGGTGGCAAGCCACCCTTTTCCGGTCGAGAACCATGGTCTCAGATTTGGAGGTGCTGATCCTCATCTCAGCCGCTTCACATTCGGCCACGAACCTACCCAGCAAGAGCTGAAGATCAGAGCTGGATGAAGCTAGGAGGACCACATCATCCGCAAAAAGCAGAGACGAGATTCTCCTGCCACCAAACTCGACACACTCCACACCACGGCTGCGTCTAGAAATTCTGTCCATAAAAGTGATGAACAGAACCGGTGACAAAGGGCAGCCCTGGCGGAGTCCAACCCTCACTGGGAACAGGTCCGACTTACTACCGGCTATGCGGACCAAACTCACGCTCCTCTGGTAAAGGGACTGAATGGCCCTTAACAGAAAGCCACCCACCCCATACTCCTGGAGCGTCCCCCACAGGGTGCCCCTGGGGACACGGTCATAAGCCTTCTCCAAATCCACAAAGCACATGTGGATTGGTTGGGCAACCTCCCATGCCCCCTCCATCACCCTTGCAAGGGTATAGAGCTGGTCCACAGTTCCACGGCCAGGACGAAAACCACATTGCTCCTCCTCAATCTGAGATTCAACTATCGATCGGACCCTCCTCTCCAGTACCTTGGAGTAGACCTTTCCAGGGAGGCTGAGGAGTGTGATCCCCCTATAGTTGGAACACACCCTCAGGTCACCCTTCTTAAAGATGGGGACCACCACCCCGGTACAGACGGAGAAGTATGAGGGCAAAATGTCTCTGTCCGTGCGTGTGTGTCTCTCCCTTTTGGAGCTGATGGAGAAGTATAAATTAGGCTTGACAAGTCAAAAAAAGACTGACTCACCTGGAAGCCTGAAGGACCAGGCTGTCCTTGCTCTCCTCTCTCCCCAGCAGGGCCCTGAACAGAAAACCCTCAGTCCATTAACATTCCATGTTATTAGCATGATAATGAACACATTTTTCCACATAACGACTGTTGTTAAATAGACTTTTTTATGCACGCTGAAATGCAGATTTTCAAACAGGTCTTAGAATCCTCTCTTATGACGTCCAGATATGAACGTCAAGGACATTTTATTACTCCAGACGAAGCCATTGTAGAGGCAGTCTGGGGAATTGAGATATTGACGAGTTCTTCTAAGTGCAGACTTAGAAAAAGGAAGAGATAATATCAGTGTTGAAGCCGTACGGAGTCGAATGTGGAAGACAGAGATACGTACGGCGGGGCCAGGAGGTCCAGCAGAGCCAGTCTCTCCATCTTTTCCAGGCAGCCCCTGAGGAGCGGGGACAGAAGGATTTCATGAGTAAAAGCAAAACCAAAGGCAATGTTTAGCTAGACAGACATGTCAGGATTATGGCTTTTTTCCCAACATGATTCTCATGAGGAACAGATAATCCTGTGTGAATTGGCCATATTACCTCCACGTGTCTGGAGTATAAATACCAGAAACATATCATACATATAAACACACAAATTATTCTTTCTAAACTGAAAAAAGGTAGTTATTGGCTCTAAGATTTACTATAAAGGCCCGATCAGACTAAACGTGGAGGAAACGAGTGTGTTTGACTCACTCTCAGACCAGGAGCTCCAGCCAGTCCTTTGTCCCCAGACTTGCCTGGTTCACCCTAATAACAACAGAAACACAATACAGCTGTCAAACAAAATGCTGCAATGGGCCGATCTATTTTTACAGAAGGATGGGTCTATGAGCTGGTGTGTGTTATGTGAAAAAAAGGTGCACAAAAGCACTACAGACGGCACTGATCAAGTGTGATCATTTTAAATCAGAAGTAAATTTTTAGCACAAATTAATTAATATTATGAACAGGATATAGGAGGATTCAGGACCTTCTGCAGGCAGCACTTACAGTTGCTCCCTTGGGTCCGGGGAATCCCATGACACCAGGCTGTCCACGGGCTCCCTGAGGGCCCGGGGGTCCTGGACGTCCATCCTCACCGGCAGCTCCCTGATAAAATCAAATCAATTCAGTTGCAAACAACAGACCTGCAACAGTCATCAACTCTGTTCGTATCTTGAAGACCAAGTTCACAAGGAATTTTTCAACACATTTGCAATGGTCTGCAGTGTAAACGAATGCCTCTGTGGGAAAAAAGCTCTGGTGCTCCTGTTCCAGGAGCTAGAATTGAGCCAGAGCAGAGGGGAGCAGAACATGACAGGATTTAGAGGCTTATTTTTTTAGGCGTATTGTGTGTGTGTGTGCGTGCGTATGTGTGTGTGTGTGTGTGCATATGTCAATGTTTTTAAACTGTTATGGGAATTTGGGATCATTTTAATTCTGTAAAGCACTTTGAGTAGCACTTTGCTTGAAAAGTGCTTTATAAATAAAATCTGATTGATTGATTGATTGAATGATTGATATTTCCTGAAATTCAGACATCTTGCCTCTGATTGGCTAATAGAAAAGCAACTCTACCATGGACTCCATTTACTCTGCAACATTGATGCTTTATCTCCACGAATAACACAAGCCTCAAACAGTTCTGCTGTGTAGTGGAGATGCTAATGCTAATGGTCAGCTTCTACTAGCCGAGACTTTTTTTGCTGTTGCCTGGATGCTTTATCAACAACAGCTTTCCCCGCCGTGAGCCAAGATGGGTGACTTCATGAATGTTAACTTGACTTAATGACGTGCACATGTCTAGCTTTTCTAATCAGAGCATTGCCCTGTCTATTTTCTATCAGAAGCTACAGCTGGAAATAGGGGCGGAAGACTATTTTCACATTTAGCCTGCATGTTTACTGACTGACTTGAATCTGCACCGAAGGGCCTTGAGTGTCTGGCTTTCAAGCAGATCACAGAATACCTCTCACTAAACTGTCTGCTTGACCCTTACAAATCTGGGTTCAACAAGGGCCACTCCACTGAAACTGCTCTGTTAGCAGTGACGGAATCCTTAAAAGAAGCTAGAGCGACTGCCAAATCCTCAGTGCTTATCATGCTCGACTTATCGGCTGCATTTGACACTGTCAACCATGGCTTCCTTTTGTCCACACTCTCTAGCATGGGCATCACAGAGAAAGCACACGCCTGGTTTGAATCGAACCTCACAGGACGATCATTCAGTGTATCTAGGCTTGGACAATCCTCTACCATGCACCATCTTGCCACAGGAGTCCCCCTGGGCTCTGTACTAGGGCCTTTTCTCTTTGCCATATACACCACCTCACTGGGTGAGATCATTCGATCACATGGCTTCTGCTACAGGCTGCGCAGTGGTTAGAGCTGTTGCCTTGCAGCAAGAAGGTTCTGGGTTCGCTTCCCAGCCTGGGTTCTTTCTGCATGGAGTTTGCATGTTCTCCCTGTGCATGCGTGGGTTCTCTCTGGGTACTCTGACTTCCTCCCACAGTCCAAAAACATGACTGTAAGGTTGATTGGTCTGTCTAAATTGTCCTTAGGTGTGAGTGTGTGTGTGTATGATTGTTTGTCCTGTATGGCTCTGTGTTGTCCCCCCCCCCCCCCCCCCGCGCAACCCTGCGTGGACAAAAAAGGTTCAGAAAATGGATGGATGGATGGGCTTCTGCTACCACTGCTATGCAGATGACACCCAGCTCTATCTGTCATTTCCACTGGCTGACCTGACCACACTGTCTCTGCATGAATATCAAACTGTCTCTCTGACATATCAAAATGGATGAAATCCCACCATCTCCAACTCAACCTCTCTAAAACTGAACTACTTGTCATCCCAGCAAAACCATCCATACAGCACAATATCTCAATCCAAAATGACTTCCTATCTCTGGCTCCTTCAAAGGCAGTTCGAAATCTGGGTGTTGTGATTGATGAACACCTGACCTTTAAAGATCATGTTGCCTCTGTTGCTCGTTCATGCCGCTTTGCGCTGTATAACATACGAAAGATCAGACCATACCTAACACAACATGCCACCCAGCTCCTGGTGCAATCTACTGTCATCTCCCGCCTTGATTACTGCAATGCTCTTCTAACTGGTCTTCCAGGCTGTACTATGAGACCTCTTCAAATGGTCCAGAACGCAGCGGCGCATCTGGTCTTCAATCAGCCAAAAAGAGCACACGTCACCCCGCTGTTCATTGAGCTCCACTGGCTACCGCTAGCAGCACGCATCAAATTCAAATTGCTAACACTAGCATACAAATTCCGAGATGGTACGGCTCCCATCTACCTGAATCTTCTTGCAAAGGCTTAAGTCTCGGCCCGGCCGCTCCGGTCATCACAGGATCGTCAGCTAGCAGTGCCTACACCACGCTCAGGACAATCCAGGCTCTTCTCATGCATCGTTCCACAAATGTGGAAAGACCTTCCAAGCACTACCAGAACAGCGGCTTCCTTTTCCATTTTCAAGAAACTCCTGAAGACCCTGCTCTTCAGAGAGCATCTTCTTAACTAGCACCCTCCCTGCACCCGTCCCCCCTCTCTACTGTCCACTCCTTGTTCCCTCCTCTCCATGATTGATGTCAATGTTGTTGTTATTGTTGTTGTTAGCCTCGAGAGCAACATGCCGATTATCACTTGTAAGTCGCTTTGGACAAAAGCGTCTGCTAAATACATAAACATAAACATGTTTAACTCAGAGTGACCATAAAAAACAGTTTCTTTGTGAACTTGCTCTTTAAGATACCTGGGTACACTCTGAAACGCTCACTTACAGAGGGTCCAACTTTGCCTTGAGGTCCAGCATCACCGGGACGACCAGTTAGGCCCTGGTGGAAAAGAACAGAAACAGGGCTGAAATCTGAGTGAGTCATTAGATGGTTTTTATGAAGAAATGTTCTGAAGGAGGGTGGAAGCATAAAACATATGGTGCCACGGAAAATGCCTTCACACCTCAGATTATCAGTGTGTGTGTGAGTAACAGGCAGGAGTTTAACATCTGATACTAATGAGTCAGAGCTGGCGTGAACGCTGAGAGGTTTACCGTTTGAATAATGGCAGAAAAATGTAAAAGCTTTAAAAAGTAATGCAAAAAATGGTATTTAGAAAAAAACCTGAATTTGATGCATGAAAGGCAAATTAAAACATATATCTAATAAAAACAGCTGTTAGGAGATTTAAAACAGTTTAGTCTGTTAACATGTTGCATTAATTCTTCATCCACAAAAAAAAAATCAAATGGAGCATCAAAGATGTGAGCGTTGCACTTGATATAAAAACCACCACAGGTGATGTCCTCTCATTCAGCATCAAATGGATCCAAAAGCAGGTTTGAAGACATGAAAATAAAGTCAGTCTGGGGGTGAAGATGCTGAAAGGAATGCCTTCCCAGACTTATATTTAACCTACTTTTCATCTCAGCTGAAAACTGATTCGTTCAATTGGAGGACTACAACAGAAAAAATAACACTGTTGCTTCAGTTGTTGCTTTTACTGTTATAATTCTGTGCTTAAAATAATGTGACTCGATGCTATCTGATTTAATTTTACTGTATCTGACTCATAAGTTGTGCATGCAAAATGTTTTCCAAAAAGACTTTGTCCTTGTACATTTAGAAATCACTTACACTCATCTGTTTGAATAAAAATGGCTGACACTGCTAGAAAATTCCACCGATAAGCAACTCAAATGACATTTGATGATCTTAACCTGAAGTATAATGAATTTGATACCACACACACACATAAAGTTGGTAAATCCCACCTTCCCTCTCTGACTTACCCTGGCTCCAGGAAGACCGGGCTCTCCAGGACGGCCTGGGTCACCAGTGGCACCCTTGGGGCCGCCGGCTCCAGAGGTTCCACGTTCTCCAGGAGCCCCCTGATTAAGGAAAAGGGAATAAAGACACAAAAGGGTCACTCAGTGATTTGGTGAAACAATTTTCCGACCTAAAGGAAATTAGTTTCCATTTTAATGATGTGAGGAGGTTTCGTTGACCTGATGGAGATGAGAAGATTAAATTCTGACAGATTCATTTTGTTTCAAGATGAGTCTGTCCATGGGAAGATGATGTTAAATGAGATGTTAGCTCTGGTGATATGGGACATTTAGGCCAGTGGTGCATGCTAGGACAGTCAGCTATGCTGCCACCATGTGGTGGCACAGTAAGCTTACACAAATCGCTCCTGAAAAAAATGAATTTTATACCAAGTCTACAGATAATATCTGCTTTGGTAAATGCTACTCAGCACAGAAAAAAAATCGATAATGTCTCTTAAACTTAACTAAATGTCTCTTAATTACTCACCAGTGGTGTCTGATCTGAGTTCAATGTGAACTCTGAGGGAGGATGGAGGCTCATTGCACCCCCATCAACCACGATATTTATTAGAAACCTGATTGGTGAAATTTAATTTAATTTGAGAGAAATTATGAATGAGTGAAGTGAAAAATTATCTCTTAAATGTCACCGGGGACTACCGAGTGGGTCGAATGAGCAGGTCAGTGTTTTATCTTTTGAGGATGAATGTAATGAAACAACTGTGAACAACAGTTATTTTACAAAAATATGTTCCGTTTTGTTATCTTAAGAGATTAACATCTATTTTAACGGAATAGATACATTTCCTTAAAATTAAATGAGATGTCTCTTCAGCCTTGAGTTATTAGGTGTTTTGTTGTTTCAGTGATTTATTATGATTTATTTTTATTTACAATTTAGTTCTACCAGCTCAAAATAACCACACCTAAAAAGCAATAAAAAGCAAATGTTGAGTTTTGATTCTGCTAACCATCTGTGATTCTGATGCGCCTTTATTCATAGAAAACAAGCATGCAACATTCTCAACCTATATGATTTCTAATTCTGCATACTGAAAATACTTTTTTAGCTCTTATGATCAAGTTCTGGATGCCATGTAGAATCTAAGCAAGCAAATTATAATCTGACTTGTTTTTAACGTCTCATTTCCATGAGATATATAACGAGTTGAAAAAACCTTCCTTTCTGATTTGTTGAACTTTCTTTGTAACAAAATTTTTTTCAATTGACTTGAGAAGCGATTTTAATTTAATTGAGCTCAAAGTTTATAAGTAGAATTTATTAAGAAATTTAACTTCTGAAAACATAAAATATTCTGTTTCAAACGCCTCCAAATTTTGGACTTCTGGGAACGTATTTGGGTTTACAGTGAATCTTTGCAGGCGAAAATATTGGACTCTCTTGAGTTCCGAAACTTTTTAGCTTCAGACCTGTAAAACAGCTATTGTCCAGACATGTGACTCCAGATATCTCTGACATGACAAAACAAACATGCTTAAAACCGAAATGAAAGAAAAAATGTTTCAGCTCATGTTCACATTTTTGCATTTATAATCATTTGATTGTGTTTTAGAAAAAAATGGGCTAGAAAGATAGCTTCAGCAATCGTTTTTTTCACTTCATCAATTTATTTTGATCATCTCAGGACCCCCTTTGACCCACAGCGGGGTCCTTTCTTTTAATTTTTTTCATGGTTACATTTTAAGATTTAAAAGCCAGTTTGTTAATCAGAATGAAGATTTTCATTTGGACTTAAAATACCTTCACTAAAACTCACCTTGGGACCAGCCAGACCATCTTGACCAGGGAAACCACGGTTTCCAGGAGCTCCCTAAACAGGAAACCGTAAGATTCAATTTCCGTTTCATCACAATAACACATTAGAAAGCACCTAATAAGGTTCAGTACACTATTTTTTAAATGGCAATAAAGAATCAATCAAACAGACTCCATGTTGTACTAAAAAAAATCTGGCCTTCAGTGATTTTCTCATACATACTCTTTCTCCAGGAGGTCCCAGTGGTCCAGCAGCACCAGGCTCTCCTCTGGGGCCTCTCTTGCCTTCCTCTCCTTGTGGACCCGGAGCACCCTGAAGTCCAACTGGTCCCTGATGACAGAATGTGTTTGTAAAGAAAAAGAAAATGAAGTTGAGGCTTAATTTAATAATTTATTTTTAGAAATTAAAAAAGTAGTAAACAATAAAAAGATAAACAAACTCACAATTTCTCCTTTGGGCCCAGCCTCTCCTTTAAACCCAGGGAATCCTGGATCTCCCTAAACACAGCACCAAAAGGAAAACAACAGATAAAAACAAGAAAGATTTAGTTTGCATTTAGACAGAAATTAGGAACCATTCTGTTTCCGAGCAGTTTAGTTCTAATAACGTATAATATTCTGATCTATGGAGTTATCGAGTACATACAGATGTTCCTTTGGGCCCGAGAGGTCCAGTTGCTCCCTGGGGCCCAGGAGGCCCACGAGGTCCAGGAAAACCAGGAGCACCAGCGATACCTGGAGCACCCTGCAGAGGGAGAAAATGTAATCTGCTGACTAATCACATGATGATCCCCTTCCAGGATTACGTAGAAATGATTGATTATTTATTTTGCTGAGCGGTAACAGCTGATAAATGATGTTTCTGCAGCACAAAGTGCTACAACACACTACATGGTTTGTAGTATTATTACCACTTTGGAAGGCATACTCTTGTCACAGTTAGGGAGCATATTTTTTAAAACATCACTTGTATCTCTAGTAAATTCAGCAAAATGGGGAAAACAAAGTTTAAATGAATATAAAGAAGAGTTTTGAACTTACAGATGAGCCTTTAGCTCCAGGGATTCCATCAGTGCCAGGGTTACCCTACAAGGAATGACCGTAAATACAATAAATCATCCTGAAAATGAAATAAACACACTGGGCTGATTACTTTTAGACTCCCTACATTTGAATAACTTTCTAGAAATTTAAAATATAAAATTCAAACAGACTGATAATTAACAGCATGTATGCTATAGAGATGCTTTATAAACTGTTTACAGCATTGCTTACAGAAGCTCCAGATGGTCCAGGTGATCCTGGAGTACCAGACTCTCCACGGGGTCCCTGAGCTCCCTCCGGTCCACGAGCACCAGTCGGCCCAGCTTCCCCCTAATCACACAAAAACAGGACCTATTTATTCGTCTGATCAGAGTAGATATGAATAATCAACCACTTAAATCAATTTCTAAACACAAACTGCAACAAAATGGTTCCTGAGATTAATCAATATCTATCAGCAGCTAGATAGAAATAAAAACTACACAGGAAACTCGTGTGTGCATGCAAAAACAGATTGTAGTTGTGGAAATAGGATAAAGAAGAAACCCTAAACCAGAAAGAACAAGAACGATAAAGCTAGTGCAAGTAAAACGAAAACCAGAGAAATAGTACAATTGGCTTAGTTAGGGATTTGGTAGGGTTAAGGTTAACCCAACCCCACATTCATGAGCAGAACTCAGCCCTGACGGACATCAGCTGTTTTGTTTCAACAGAATCATCAGGAAAAACTCACACAAGGTACTCCAGTTAAAAACCTACTGAAGCTCTCCAAGCTGATTGACAATTCACTTCTGGTTTCTCTCCTCCTCAGTTGGTTTTAATGATTTTTATTTAGTGTTCATCTCTCCCGAGAATGCACACCAGGTCTGGCTTTCTGGTGAGCTGTGATAGCCTCCTGGAGGGGGCCGCCAGCTGGCACACCTCTGCCAGCCACCGAACATTCTCTATATTAACTATTTACTTCCTTTAACATAGAATGTGCTGCTATTAGTTCATCAGTTGTGTGTGTGTGTGTGTGTGTGTGTGTGTGTGTGTGTGTGTGTGTGTGTGTGTGTGTGTGTGCGCGTGTGTGTGTGTGTACGTGCGTGCGTGTGCTCAGTCACACACACACCAGGTTAATCAGAACCAGGTTCTGATGGAGGTATCTTCCTGTTAAAGGGGGCTTTTCCTCTCCAGTGTCGCTACATGCTTGCTTAGAGGATTGCTGTAAAGTCAACAGGTCATTGGCTTGTTGCAACCTGCAGGGTTTCCTTAAATAGGGAACTTTTAACTAACTGAACTCAGTGCACTGATATGTTGGTTCAACTGAAATGTTGACTTTGTGAAGTGCTCTGAGACAACTCCAGTTAAGAGCTGGTGCTAAATAAATGAACTGAATTAAATTATGCTCTGCTATAGTTTTAGTAATGTTAGGGTCGGGACATAACATTTAACCCAGCCCTAACCCTAACTCAGCCCTGACCCAAGTCAGCTGTTTTACTTTAACAGAATCATCAGTAAAATCTCAAACAAGGTACTCCAATTAAAAGTTCCTCTCCAAGCTGATTAACAATCCACTTCTTCTGGTTTCTCTCCACCTCAGTGGGTATTTATGGGTTCTTAATGCTTCTCTTGAGCATTCTTCAGAACAGCAGACATTTCAGACCAGGCATGTCCAAAGTGCAGCCCGCCGAGTGATTCTGTGTGGAGCCCTGCTTTCATTTCTAGAATGAAAAGTTTTGCCTTTGCAGCAGGCAGATTATGAAGACTGACAATTTCTAACATTTTTATGTTTTCGTGTTTTATGTAACTAGGGATGTAAGAAAATATCAATATGGCAATATATCGTGATATTTTTTCCTGTGATATTATATTGTTACTCAAAAGCCGTGTATCAAATTTTTGGAAGAATTTATATGCAAACATTGGTGTATTTTCTTTTCTTTTGGTGCAATTCAAACACTGACTACTAGTTGGCAGCAGTGTGCAGAGTACTGTTTTCCACCATTGAAATGTAAATTCCTCTATTATATTATAAGCAATCATCCCAAATCAACCATGAGAAGCAGCAACAATGAACAGTTTGCTTATTTAAGAGGAACAGATAGTCCATCCATCCATTTTCTGAACCCGCTTTGTCCGTGCAGGGTCACGGTGGGCGGGGGGGGGGGGGGGGGGGGGGGGGGGGGGGTGCTGGTGCCTATCTCCGGCGGTCAACAGGCAATCAGGAGGGGTACACCCTGGACAGAAAGCTAGTCCATCGCAGGCAACACAGACACACAGGACAAACAATCATGCACACACACACACACACACACACACACTCACACCTAAGGACAATTTAGACAGACCAATCAACCCAACAGTCATGTTTTTGGACTGCGGGAGGAAACCGGAGTACCCGGAGAGAACCCACGCATGCACAGGGAGAACATGCAGAAAGATCCCAGGCCGGGAAGCGAACCCAGGACATTCTCGCTGCAAGGCAACAGCACTAACCACTGCACCACTGTGCAGCAGAAAGTAAATCCTATCATTTATTACTGAAGGATCAAAACAGTGGGTCAGTTAAGGAAATAAATTAATTTGCATGATCAGAAATACCCAAAATACAAACTAAAAGAAAAAGAAAAGAGTCCCCAAAAGGACCTGGGAAACTCAGCAGCGGATCAATGAACAAAGGAAGCTGGGCTGAACAGAAGCTGAGGAATTAAGGACTAAATGCAGAGCAGGTGTGACAGAACTCCGGACCAGCAGAACAAACCATGAAAACAAAACTAGGAGTATTTATGGAACATGACACTGTCTGGTTTGGATTTCAGGTTACAGCCAAACCACTGTCTAAATTTGAGAAATATTTTCTGAAGGGTGAAAAGGTTTTTCTGTTCTCTTTTTAACTTCTGGTTCTTGTGGTGATATATTTTCAGAGTCAAACAATTTTTTGATCTTGTGCTATACAAAAATCCAAGAAGGAACTTTTAAATATTAAGACAAGCCACTAATAATCATAATGAGATACAAGTTTGGAAAAAAAATCTCTCTCACACACTCACACACACCTAAGGACAATTTAGACAGACCAGTTAGCCTAACAGTCATGCTTTTGGACTGTGGGAGGAAGCTGGAGAACCCGGAGAGAACCCAGGCATGCACATGGAGAACATGCAAACTCCATGCAGAAAGATCCCAGGCTGGGAAGTGAATCTAAGACCTTCTTGCTGCAAGGCAACAGCTCTAACCACTGCGACCACTGCGCAGCCTATATATATAAATATATAATAGAAAAATGATGATTTCCTCTTGCAGAAACCAAGTGTATGATTTGATTCCTCATGTATTTTTTGAGGAATGTTCTTATCCTGTTTAAAAGGTAACGGTCTTAAAGGGATTACAGACTGTTTTGGCTTGCTTTTATCACCCTCTAGTGTCCCATTAATGAATCCAAAGGTGAAACTTACATGCATTGATCTTTATAAAACATTAATCTAACTGCTGAAAGGTCTCCTCCTATATGCATTTAAAGCTCGGCAAATTAAAACTATGAAACATAGGTTTTAAGTTCAGTCAACTTACTTGAGTTTACAGTGTACTTCTGTCACCATCGAGTTATATAATGCTGTGTAGATTTGAGTTATACAAATGACTGGTCTGAATTTAAGAGTATTTGTGTTGATTCACATTTAACTTTGTTTAGCCTGTCAGAGAAGATTAAAGGCAAACATTTCCATATGGTGTCTTAAGTTCTTGCATTTTAGAACAAGCTTTAAAAATATGTTGTTCTTATCTTATTTATATATAAAAATGTCTTTCTTTGCTGTCTTTTAAATGTTTTTCCAATTATGTTATCCAAACAGTATTACATAACGGTTTGCAGATGTTTTTACTCTGACCTGAAAAAAACTTTTATTCAAAGGGGCCAATTCTGAGAAGCCACTTCCTGGAAGCCAAACATTTTAGTGCCAGAATGAAGCCTCATGGTGGTGAATGGAATTCCTGCTGCAGGAACAGCAAAGGAAAAGCAGAGCAGACCCAACACTATGACTGCAATAGAGTTTCAAAGTGAGCAAAAATGCTCATATAGCTAAGTGTTTGGACCTTTTTTTACCTCTGTAAGGCTATTGTCAGTGATTAGGGTCCAAAATAAAGACTAAACCTCTAGGACAAAAAGAGTGGGTTCATCTGTCAGATTTTTTTATTTGTTGAAAAATTTGGAACAAAAAAAGGGTTTTGGCAGAAGCTTAACGTGAATACTGGAGCTAAACAAAACTTTTCTTATTTGGTTTATTCAGATTGACGTGTTGCGAAAATTCTCTCAAGAGTTAAAAAGCAAACCAGATATAATAAAAAGAGGATCCATGGGCTTTTGAATGCAAGTCAAGTGTACACACACACACACACACACACACACACACACACACACACACACACACACACACACACACACACACACACACACACATCTGACTGAGAGTAAAGCTTTCAACGACTACTTCAAGGAAAGTTTCTGGATTTTGGAAGGAGATCCAGCTCTTAAAAGAATTTCCACACATTAAAGTAACTCAGAAAAAGAAAAGCAAACAGCTAGCAGAGCGCCCTGGAGGGAAACGCACAATCTGTTACAGTGCTGCAAGAATAAACCACAAAGGAGAAGAAGACAGGTCAAGGGATCAAAAGATAAAGAACACTTAAAAGAAACCTATTTCTATATTTCAGAGTTCTCCACCTTCTTTAAAGCATCTCCACAAAAATCCTCCCTGAAAAGGATGCAGGTATTTCCCAAGATGTCACTTTTAAAAAAATTTAATAAAGAAAAGAAAGTCTGTTCAGATTCTACAACTCAAACTTTCTTCTTGTTCAGGGAAGCATCACCCTGGAGCCCATGGACACCAAGGTGCCCCCAGAAACCCTGTAAGGTGCCATCAGGCTCCATAAATAGCACAATTCACTGTTCAGCAAAGTTTTAACTATAATTTTATGCTGCTTTTTTAAAAGTCACACTTAATGTGCTTAAACACACAGCAGCAGAGTCAGCTTACAGAATTGTGGTAACTACAGAGGAATAACTACAGCCTGTTAGGCTGAAGTGAAAACTCCCCTCAGAAGAAATGTGGAATGCTGCCATTGATATGGAAACTCTTTCTCCCTATCCCAGCCTGGGTGGGACTGTGACCGGTGAAGGCAGTGGAACCGTATCTAGGAGTCATTGTGCTTTCTAGACCCCCCCCCCCCCCCCCCCCGTCCAAACAGAGGTGATGAGCGCTGCTCTTGCGGCTGCACACCCTGAAGTGAGGAGAGTCCCAACCCCACCTCCCCACCTAGTGGACACTTATGTTATGTATCGTGTGAAGTCTGTGTGCATATCTGTCTGAGGTGTTTTTTTGCATAGCAAAGCTACCCTCTCTGTTGAGGGTAACTCTGAAGTGCCTTTTTTCTCCTCCCCCTGACTCTATCCTCATATAAACCCTCTTGTTCTATTAAGGTAGCGCGATTCGTGTTGCGAATGACCACAGTCACCAATTCTTGTCATGTGTCTATGTATGTACGTCTGATCTTGAAATTGTGTGTACTGAAACAATTGAATTTTCCTCTGGGATCATTAAAGTATTTTTGAATTGAATTGAATTGAATAAAGCTAATGGACCGTACATGGATTCTCTTGGAAAGAGTGGTAGAAGCTAGTCTTAGGTCAGAAGTGAGCATTTGCGAGCAGCAGTATGGTTTCAGGCCAAGAAAGTGTACTACAAACGCTACCTTTGCTTTAAGGATGCTAATGGAGAACAACAGAGAAGGTCAGACGGAGCTGCATTGTAGATTTAGAGAATGACGGTGCTGAGAGAAGAGCTGTGGTGCGTGAGAGCTATGAGACAGCAGTGAGCTGTGCTGTAGGAGTGACAGGTGGAGGTGGGACTGCATCAATGATTGGCTGTAGTCTCTTCTTGTTTGTTATGGTGATGGACAGGCTAACAGATGATGTTGGACAGGAGTCTCTATGGACTATGATGTCTGCAGAGGACATCGTGATCTGCAGTAAGAGCAGGGTGAAGGTAGAGGGAAAGCGAGGGAGGAGATGTGTATTTGAAAAGAGAGGAATGAAGATTGGTCACAGCAGGACAAAATCCATGTGTGTAAATGAGATGGACACAAGTGGAACGACGATGTTACAGAGAGTAGAAGTAAAGAAGGTAGGGAGGACTTTAAGTTTTTGGAGTCTACAGTGCAAAGCAACAGAGAGAGTGGAGAAGAGGTGAGGAAAGGCATGAAGCAGTGAAAGGGACAGGTATGATGTGATGAAAGGGTTTCAGGTGTAGAAGACAGCCGTGGGACCAGTCATGTTGTCTGGTGTAGAGACATTGTTCATGAGGAGAAGACCAGAGAGAGAACTGGAGGTTACAGAGCTCAAGATGTTCAATTTCTCTTTGGAAGTGACGAGGATGGAGAGGATCAGGAATGAGTCCGTCAGAGGGACAGCTTGTGTTAGATGTGTTAGGAGGTAAAGTCAAAGAAGACAAACTGAGATGGTTTGGACAAGTTCAGAGGAGAGACGATAATGACATAGCTAGAAGGATGCCGAGGTTGGGGCCACCAGGCAGGAGGCTGAGAGGAAGACCAAGAAGAAGATGTATGGTTGTGATGATAAAGTACATGAAGGTAGTTGGTGTGAGGGTAGAGGATGCAGGAGACAGATGACTGGCTGTGGCGACCTCGAGACGACGAGCTCAAAGAGAAAGGAGGGTTATTTTATCACATATCGCACTGTTGTAGATTTGAAAATGATATTGTCAAAAAGGCTGAAATATATTTATTATACATGAAATTTAGTGAAACTCAAATCTATTCTAGGTCAAAGGTCAGTATTGTGCACATGAAAAAACATGGTGCATCAACCTGGAAGCCCATCTCAGCTTCACAAAGGTTGGTGACCCCTAGTCTAGACCTATGGGCTAACTCCAACAGGAGGTAGAGAAGGAAACCATTTGTTCTACCTTTGAACCAGGAGAGCCAGGGAAGCCAGGAGCTCCAGCTGTACCAACTGGACCCTACAGAAAACAAAATGAATAAGTCATGTGACGTATTCAGATGAGAAGATTCAGATTATTGTTAAGAGAGGAAACAATACTCACAGGAGGACCAGCAGGTCCAGGCAAGCCATCGTTTCCACGAGCGCCCTGCACAAAGAAAACAGTGAATTATTTCTTGTTTAGATATCATTAATTATGTTTGAAGGGTGAAGCAATCAGTGTCAGTATTGTCCTTTATTAAGTTAACAGCTATTCTAAAGAAAAAAATGAACAAAGAATACATGTCAAAGCCATCTATTATAAACTAAATGTCAAATCTTTAGTTTTCAGAGAGGAAGATGCCACGTACAGCAACTCCAGAGGGTCCAGGACGTCCTCTCTCACCAGGTAAACCACGAGGTCCCTAAAGACAAGCAAGAGAGAAGAGAACAGGCTTCAGCTCATCACTGCTTATGCTTAAAGACCAAGTTCACTTGCTTTTTCATCACATCTGCTTTGGTCTCTAGTACAAATGAATGTCTTGTGAGTTGATCTATGTTGGTGAAAAAAGCTCTGGTGCATCTGTTTCAGGAAGTAGAAGTTATTCGGAGGATAGATGAGCAAAAGACCACTGACTGATTAGCAACATTGATGTTTTATCTCAACAAAACGCTCTGGTCTCTTCTGAACGACTTCCCCGGTCGTGATCCAAGATGGGTGAGTCCAAGAATGCTAATTTCACAGTGTGACGTGCGATTGACTGTTTTTTTCTAATCTGAGTGTCTTCTATCAGCAGCTAATGCAGGAAATAGGGGTAGAAGACTATTTGCATGTGTAGCCTGGATGTTAAACTCAGAATGAGGATCATATTTTAAAAATAGCCCATAAAAGCAGTTTCTCATGAGTTATTTTTATCAGCAGGAATTTATGAAAAATGGAAATGAAACGGATCGCTTCAGTGAAGCACCCACACCCGCTACGACAAAACACTCCCCTAACAGTGTCTTTGGCAAGGCTGCTGTTGTATTTGCTTTGGTAGTCCAGTGGTTAACGGGCCTGCCATGCCCTGATGCCGGTTTGACTCAGCAGTAATTTGTCAGAATGTAAACTCTGATACAGATGGAGGTTTGAAGCAGTCGTTTGTGACATGAAGGCCACATTCTCAACTGCAGCCCAACTAGGAGACAGCGGGCGTTAGTGACCTACTTCCAGGTCAGAGACTAACTTCAGGGGGAAGAGCAGGGTCTGATGATGCAGTAAAATACATGAATGCAGCCAAAAATGGGTTTGGGGATATTTTCACCAGGAAATAACAATTTCATGTGGTAAAAAGCTCTAAAAAGTGGATTCTTCATGATATGACCCCTTTAAATAATCAGATTTTTGTTTTGATCATCAAATACTCACCATTGGTCCAGGTGCACCGCTCTCTCCTGGAGCACCAGACTCTCCCTAGAACGAAAAAGACTCTGATTTTAGAATAACAAGTACATTTTTAAGGCTTTATGCAGTAATTCCAGCTGTTTACTTAAATCACATCCGCTTATTTTAATGAGTAACTCAAGAAGAATTAGCATTTGAAAAATCTCAACTTCTATCACATGTGGTGAGTAAAAATCTACACCAAAAGGCACAGAACGGACAGAAGATCTCACCTTAGAGCCGACAGCACCGGTCTCTCCCTTCATACCATCGAGACCTGGATAACCCTGAGAGATTAACGAGAAAGAGTCAGGAATTTGAGAAGGAGACTTTCTGTGTTTGTTGCAGAAACCATCAGGATCAACTCACTCTGTGCCCCTTGATTCCAGGCAGACCAGGAGTTCCTGGGAATCCACGCGCTCCCTGTGAATCAATAGAAGAGATCAGTATCCAGTAAAGAAATGAAGATAATGCACATTTTATTGTCATGAGATTATTTGATATTGTGGAAACTACGATGTATCAAAACTGGCTTTTCCAAAACATCCCAAAATGGTTTATTATGAAGATGTACTTAAATCTTTAGTTCAGTTGTTAGGCTGCCCTGATATGATGGATGATTTTTTTTTTTGTTATTTTGCTTTGTCAGAATTTTATAAACCAAGTTACGTATCTCTTTAAAAAACTACAACAACCAACAGTTAGCGAATCAGCAGACTGAAGGAGCTCACCTGAGGTCCTGAAGGTCCTCGTTCACCAGGTTTACCTGGTTTACCAGCTTCACCCTAAAAAAGACACAAAAAAGGGTTCAAACCAGACAAATATATATATTTTTATTTTAGGGAAAATCTTTAGAGGTTCTGTTCCAGGTGCTTGATGAAAGAGCACCTCTAGTGGACAAGTGGATGAAACATCAGATTATGTAGTCTGCAGCCACCTTGTGGAGTAAAGCAATGATTACATTTTATGTCAAAGTAAATTACCGAACAAAAATATTTTTAAAGTTAAGATGACAAAATAGACAGATTGAGGTGTAGAAGGTAAAAATACACATTTGGTTTTCTTTAGTTGCTTTTGATGGCAAACATGAAGTTCTTTTAGGCTCAAAAATTATAAAAACTATTTCTATTCCTTTAATAAGTTTAAGTATAATGCAAACAATGCAGTATGTACATATTATTGTGCATTTAATGAGTTTTAATGTACAGAAAACTAACTCAGAGCTGTGGTGGAAATGCAAAAGATCAAAAGTTAAGTTTTGTTTCTTTCTCTAAACATCTTTAGCATCACTTTGCATTGCGTGTAATTTGTTCTCACAGGTGATGTCGCACCCACACTTTTTCCAATGAGGAGGTTAAACACCCACAATTTTCCCGCAGTTTGGCTCAAAAACGTAATTATCAGTCCGATCCCTCTGTTTGCCCGCTGTCCCCCCCCCCCCCCCCTTGCTGTTGCGAGCTGAAACCCGCACCTCTGTCAGTATTCTGACCAGACAAACAAATAAATAACATCAGCTTGATTCCACTTTGTTCCTTAAATTGAGTCACATCGTTTAGCGAGTTCTGTACGCTCATGCGTTCAACAGCGAGCTCTGCCAGCTGATTTTAGTAACGAGTGACATCATGCCGTTCTGGTACTGAGCAGCATGGATGCATCAGAGGATTTTGTTGTAGTTTGTGTTCAAAATGGATTAAAGACAGGACAGGATAAATAATCAAACAAATACAATACATACATTCTCACTAGCCTGTAACTCTATGTTTTTCCCTCAAAATGCACCTGACTGATGCTTTTAAATGTAAAATGTCCAAATATTTCTACAGGGGGGTGCATGCCCCCGGACCCCCCTAGAGTAGTTTTATACTCATCATCTTTTTCATATCTGCCCTTTGGTGCTGGTGCACACCTTGTGGTGGAAGAAGAACTGTATACATATATGTGAGAAATTTCAACACCCACACTTTACAGAAGCTTGCTACGCCCCTGCAGGTGATCGCTGCTTCAGTCACAAACAGGATGTTAGTCACAGTAACTGATCTCATCCTTTAAGAGCTTCATCCAGGTTATTTTTTAAAAAATAATTGTTAATTCATGATTAATATAAACACAACCGTCACACTTACGTCCTCTCCAGGTTTTCCGGGAGGTCCTGAGGGGCCGCGGGGACCCATGGGGCCCTGTTAGAGACAAGAGTTCAGGTGAGTCACAGTTCTCATCAATCACCAACAGAGGGCGACGGCAGCTGCAATGTTTCATTCTGATTAACGTGAAAAGTTCTGCAGCCTTTAGCTTCAGGATCAGATTCAGACTTTATTTTTGACCCGTTAAACTCCCTGACAGATACTGTTAGTGATGATGTTCACGGCTGCATTCATTCAACTTCTAGTCTGAAACAATGCAGTTTAGATTCTCAAGAATGCTCACCTCTACTGATAACCACATTTCAACCATAAAAAACAAGTAGGAAGTCAGATTTTTTTTATTTAACTGTTTGTATTATTTTTGCTAAATCAGCTAGAATAAAAATATTTAGACCGAATTTCTTAAAAAGCAGATATTTGCTTCAAACCTGTTTATCCAATTTCTCTGACTTTCTTTCAATTAAAATATGATGGATGAGATTTTTATGTGCAAATCTTTTTTTTCATGATCTTTATTAAATGATACGTTTGTTTTGTGTGCTGATGGGAAATGACACCTCAGACATCTCTAACTAAACCAAAGCTTTCTCTGGACTTTGCATTGCCAGCTCTGTGACATTTCCAATAATTTTTCCGGACCAAAGTTTGATTTTAATCACACCTAATGATGCACTGGCACATCTTACAAAAAAATGCATCTCTTTGTGATTCTCTGAACTTCACATGGGGAGATTATCACAGCAGTGGGGAGACCTTATCCTGTCTACCTGCTGAGAGTTCAGGGAGGACAGGAAAGGAGGTCTGATTGTGTTAAGCGTCAGGACATACGAGGAAATTAGGAAAAGTTACTGTTATACAACAAAAAATGATAGGAAAAGAAACAATATTCTCTCTGGGAATGAACACTAACAAATATAGAACACAACTGGAGGGTTTTAGAGAGGAGAGGAGTTCAGATAACTAGTGTAACAACTGAAAAAGCCACTTTGTTCAGGAGAAGCAGCACAAGTTCAGCTCTGTGATATTGTTTCTACATTTGGAGGTGTATGATTATAAAACCTGAACCAGGAAATAACTCATTAAATGTGTCAGTTTACAAGATAAGATCTACAGTAAAACAACCAAGAACTGCAGACAATCTACAGCAACAAGAATAAGCTTTAAAAACATTTAAAAGGTAACAGAAGACCAAAAAGGATAACGAGAAGAGCCTAAACAGAAACGCTTACAGAGAATCATGAAAAACTACCAAACTGAGGAGGCGCTGGCCTGAAAAACGAGCTCTGGGGCAAACTTACGGCTTGTCCGGGTTCTCCAGCCTCGCCTGGGCTGCCTTGGAAACCTTGTGGGCCCTAAAATGTAAAAAATGTGGAAAATTTTGATTTACTGACAACAAACACTTTCATTGAGTCAGTAGTTGGGAAGAAGATCAATTTTTAGTGACTTTAAACACTTATTTTTAAACCTCTCTCTGCTTTTGAAACATTTGGTCATTTATTTTGATATATATTATTAGTTTGACCAAAACTATCCAAATGCATCAGAATGTTCTTCGACAGTAACTCACATTGTCTTTTGTACTTCCTTCTCATACATTTTTAAACAAAACAAATGAAGGAATAAAGTCTGAAAACCACATATATATATATATATATATATATATATATATATATATACACTAATCTGCACATGTTCCATTTAAACAAGCAGAGCTGCAGAACGTATGTCTACAAAAACACGAATGGAGTCAGAAACACACACACACACATACACACACACACACACACACACACACACGCTCGCACGCATGCACGCACGCACACACGCACACATTCATGAAAAGCCTCTCTGGCATCACTGCACTACTTCCTTACAAACAACATCCTTGTAGACAGAATTTACAATATCTGTTGTTACGTTAAAAACTAAGAAAGATAAAAGAGAAAATGCGTTGGTGGGATTTAATCATCAATCGAAGTTAAGTCTGATGATTGTGTACAGCTGTACTTTGAAGGCTGGCAGGACGGGCGGAAATTGCTATGTGCAACCAGGCTGAAGCAGAAAAAAGACGGTGTGTGTGTGGGGGGTGTCAGCCCAGCAGTTGGTACAAAAAGGTAAATTGTCAGGTGCTCAACAGTAAGTCTGGGTTGTGGACCTGGAAAACGCCCCAGAGCTGCAGCTGGAAGACAGAAGTATTCTTAGAGTGCCGCCTGCAGACAACACTGAGGGCTAAGAGTGGAAATTTACCTCTGACAGCTGGTGATATAAAATGGTGTTTGGAAAGTCAGTGGTCTGATAATGTTATTTAATACACTAGAGGGGATGTGTACTCTGGAACAAGCTTCTCACAATTACTGGATCTGAAACAACAGGATCTGGTCTGTACTCAGGCCTGGTGGGGTGTGAGGGGTAAAGGAGGTACTTACAGGTGATCCGGTGGAGCCAGGTGGTCCTCTGGGTCCCATAGGGCCCTGAGAGGAGAAGAGCACAATATCAGCATCACAAGCATGCTGATCAAACCAGGAATCTGTTCAATTTCATAGTCAGTGTTTGGTAAGTGAGAAAAGCTGCGTGTTTTTGCACCTGAAGCTAGTCATAAGTTCTTAAACTTGCTTTGCCCAAAGCTGCATAAAACTCAACAGGTCTACTTGTCGAAAACATAAATCCTTAGAAATTCTTCAGTGGCATTTAGACCTTTTTTCATCCTAATCCCTCTTTTCCTCCTCATTTTAACACCCACCTAATCCTTTTAGAGCCTTTTTTTTTGCCTTCTTGCAGCCTTTTTCATAAAGTGTCGATACCCGTGGCAACCCTAAGGAGTTTGTTCAAACACTTATAACATTTAACACTAACTTGTCTGCTGGATCCACGCCAAAATAAGTTTTTACGTCACCCTTCATGCATCCGAGCTCAACTAGAGACATTTTCATTCATCAGGGCGAAGAAGTAAGAATCCTAATGACTTTTCTTTACTATACAAGAAAATCTGCTATGAGACAAAGACGTGTTTGATCCTGTAAAGTTTCTAAAAATCCAATTTTTCTTTCTTCTTAAAGAAAATAAATCCTGGAAGCTGTTCCCCCTGGTGAAAACATATCTGTTTCATACGTTTTATTTAATCCTCAACCACAAATGAGGGAATGCAGCCAAAGAAAAAGTCCCAGCAGGGTACAATGGTCTTCAGAGGGGAATGAAAGTCACCTTTCAGTAGGTGTAGCCTCTTATCAATGGGGCTCTGTGTGCTTGAATATTTGTGCGTAGCAAACATTTGAGTAAAAGCTGCATTAAGAGTGTTTGGTACATGTGTTTCTAAGCTTGGATTGCGATTGGACATCAGAGGAGTTCAGATGCTCTGCCTCCAGCAGACGGCCAGAATAAACACAGGTCAGCTGCACAAGGTGAAGCTGAGAGCTCAGACAGGCATATGGTGGGACCATTATTACACAGACTGATGCTAAAAGCTCCATTCCTCTCCCAGCCCGGCTCAAGTGGCTGCCAAGCTGCGTTGTGGTTTGTTAAAAGTCTCCCAGAATGCTCCTCTGATACATCCTACAGTTGGTAGTAGTGGTTTGTTGAAATGTGGTGATGATCATCAGTTCAGGTGTTTGTATTCCATGAGGATTTGGGACTTTGCACCTTTAGTCCTCCATTTTTCTTCAGCTTCTTAAAAATAGCTTTCAAAGGATGTGAAAAGATGTAAATTATTTGTCGTTGGTTCTCTGATCCACACTGACTTTAAATCCTTCTTATGTTGGTTTTGGTGTCCGTGTGATTCTGCTAAACTGAGGGATGTGGAGAAGATGCTGCATGTTGGAAATGAGGTCCTCGGGTCAGGAACTCTTCTCCAAACATGTCTGTGGGTTCTTATATTCAGGCTGTAAAAGAAGTTAATGGAGGGGCAGCAGGTCGCAGCGTGGCTCTCTCACCATTGGTCCTTGCATCACGCCCATCTGAGCGCCGCCAGCCTTCTCATCGAAACCGCCCGCCATCTGAGCAGCAAAGTTCTGGAACGGGAAAAAGGCAGAACACCATCAGGATCCTCTCATGTATGTTTGGGAAACCTCAGCGAATTGAACTGACCTGTATTGGAATATTTACTATGTGAAGTGCTTTGAGACAACTCTTGTCGTGATTTGGCGTTATGTAAATAAACTTGAATTGAATTGAATTCAGGATGATCTGAAACATCTAAGAAACCATCTGCCAGACTGAGAAAAAGGAAATGACTGAAAAGTCAGACACACTTCAATCTGAGCCGTGTTTAATAATCACTCTTGTTGTGTTTAAATGTTTATCTTGGCACCAAAGCGTTGTCACACACTGCATCATGTTGGCAGCAGAGAGAATCAGCTTTGAGCGGACTGTCAGCTGCTGAACGATGCATGAATCCTGATCCAGACAGAGGGCATGTGAAAACTTTTCACAAAGACGCTTCTTGCCCCATTCTCAAAAAAGCTTCTTCCCTTTCCCTCCTTAGGTCTGTCATCCCACCTCATGCCCTTCAACCTCCCGTCCCCTCCTGTCAATCATGATCCTCTCTTCTTTTCTCTTGTGAAGAATGAAGACATTCTCTCCCAGCATCCACGCGGCTGAACCTCTGCCCCCCTCCCATTTCAGTTCCACACATCTTTTGTCTTCTTGGATCACTTCTTAACCCCCCCCCCCCCCCTTTTTGTTTTACCTCATTATCCCAACCAAACAAACCCTTCTTGGCCTTGAATTAGGATGCAACCACAGTTCTGTTATCTACAGGGACTGCAATTCCATTACTTCTCCTAAATGTGGGACACTTACTCCACCAAGGCCAGGGGGTCCGTTAGGTCCAGGAGGTCCAGGGGGTCCGGGGTTTCCAGGGGTGCCAGGTTCACCATCTCTGCCGCGAGGACCAGGGCTTCCCTGAAAATCAGAGACGATATTAAGATTTTTCATAAGAGCTGAAGAAAAAGGGCAGAAACAGCCCAACCAGTCTGAGGTTTAAAGCAAATGAAAATGTGTTGTTTGTAAATTGAAAGAGTTTTTGACAAAATCTTCAAATCATTAATGGTTTAAAAATGTTTGACACTGACGAAGAAGATGTTTAAATACTCGTAAAATAACGTCTTTGTCTTATTATAAAATTCAAAGGAAGTTTAAAAACCATTTTTTAAATGATTTTTGTTATTTTGAGCTCCGGAGCAGGTTGAATAAATCATTACATCGTTACTGGCAGAGAAAACAGCAGAATCTGTGTTAAATAGCTACTGTTGACAGCAGCGTGAGGCTCATTTGAACTGTTTCCAGACACTGACAGTCTAACATGACAGAACTTGACTTGATCTGAGACACCGACTATAAACATGTTTTTACAGCTAAACTAAACAGAATGGTAAAAGGTTGAAACAATAAAAATCTGCTTTATTCTGTAAAATTACAGTCAATATTTCAAAATATCAACATCCATCGCTGCTTGTAGTGTGTGCTGATGATTTTTCAGGTAGGATCAGACCACCGTGCATACCTCTGTGCATGTAGAGACAAATGACCCCGTGAGCAGATCCAAAACAAAGAATGTGCTAAACATCTAACACGCTGCTCAGCTTCTGCTAGCCAAAACCTAATCTAACCCTGTGTTTAAATCTGCATAAACAAGATAAATGACATAAACTCCTCGCCTGCAGCGGCTATCAGATCTGCGTTTTTACATTAATTAGATGATCAAAGCCTGTCGGATTTCCCACACTGTCTGACTGCGAGGCCTCTGAGAGAAGCCGACCGCCGTTTACATTATGAGCCTCCAACAGTCTCACATCTGTTAAACAACCCAGACCACAGGGCCTAATGGGAACGACACATGACTGGTTACACTGTGGTGCTCAATGAAAGGCTACCATTATACAAACACATCCCCCAACCCAGCCTCAGGACCTGCAGCTATCAGGTTCAGTCGGACATACTGTACTTGCTACCAGAGTGGAGTAGATCTTTTAGGGTCAGTGGGAGAAAATCACAAGGAAAACTGATTTTTTTTCTTATATAAATCCAACCTTCTCTCCTTTCTCTCCTCTTGATCCGCGGGGTCCTTGCTCTCCAGGTGGGCCCTGTGGGAACAGGAGAGCAGAGTCAGGGACTCCCATAGTTATCTACATGTGACATGAAGAAGCAGATGCAGCATTTAGAGCCTCCTACAGTTACATGAGCACATGCTAAAAGTGGTAAAAACTAGAGCAGAGACTGTCACGGCTGCGATTGGGAGTTTTCCCTCTTTCAAGAATTATGTATAGTTTTTTAGAAATAAGTAAAACTGATAGACTTACTCTGTACTGTTATATAATGTAGGTAATACTTCTTTTCTTTTGCTATGCCCGCCCCCAGTCCCGTAGGGCACCAGGCAATTGTAATTAGACGCCTCTAAGCATATGTATATGTACGGTATGTATATATATATATATATATGTATATGTATATGTATATGTATGTATATATATATATATATATATATATATATATATATACATATACATATACATATGTATATGTGTGTGTGTGTGTGTGTGTGTGTGTGTGTGTGTGTGTGTGTGTGCGTGCGTGTGTGTGTGACAGCATTCTATGAAACTAATACTCAGCTAGAGCTGTGCATTCACAAAAAAGAGTCGTTGCTTCCAGACACAATCCCGGAAGAGGTTGAAATACTTTCTTCTGCCTCTAGATGGCGCCTTCCAACAAAAAAAAAACCCTCAAGGTTTTGGCTTTAAAGATACAATCTGGAGTTTTCCTCCTTTCATTTTTTTTTTAGAAATACCTGCACTGCAATAAAATGGAGGCAATATGCTGATTTTTTTCTGCGAAGTCTGCCCCTGTCCCGGTAGAGCCCCAGGCGGTTTGAACTGACCGCCATTCAACATTAGCCTGTAGCATTAGACATCTGCTAAAATACGGATGTCATTAACAAAGCATGCACGAGCATTTGAAAATGCACTTAGACAGATGCAGAGCTGGCAACATTTCTCGTGGACAACTACGTCTTTAAAATGTATTTATTTGAAGAAAAAAAACAGCACAACGCGAGAATAATATTTGTAAAACTGTGTGTTTTAGCTCTGTTGGTTGGCTCGAGGTGTGTTCATGAACAAGAGGAGTTGCTTTGGACGTAGTACTGTAAGTAGGGAGACTAGCATAAGGTGCTGTTCATTTGTATGCCTCTAGATAGAGCTGTTGGATAAAACACCAAACTATTTCTGCTTTAAGTAGATGAAAAGAAATATTAAAAAAGTTGCGTACCATTGGGCCAGCTGGTCCTCTTGGTCCTACAACCTGAGCGTGAAAAAAGAAAACAATCTTAAAGGGTAAAATGTATTTTCACACAAGAAGTTAAGAGAAATAATATTTCCATCCCATCGGAGCAGACCTAAGAAACATACGGTAAACAAAGCTTCTTGATTTTCTACGACAAAAATCTGATCTTCAGAGGAGAAAAGTGTTTCCAGGTGCAGCAGCAGCACTGAGTTTACTTTCTCTGCTTTCTGAAGGCATGTGCGGATCCTAATGGATGCTTTGTTGTGCTTGGCTGTTGTCCTCATGATCAGATGGATAACCAGCCTCTCTCAGCTTCGTCTCTCTTACTCCTGATGTCTTAAGAAAGACCGTTCTGATGCTCTTTTGGTTGTTTTATAACACCTGGTCTAAATGACAAATGTTCACCGCCAAAACAATAAAGGCAAATGAAAAGTTTGGATGCATTTTCAATCCTTCACAGATATTTTTCAAAGATTGGCATAAATGAAAAATAGACAGAGAAATCTAATCTAATATCTAATAATCTAATCTAATGATCTATAAAACGTGTGCATAGAGAATGTTTATGTTGGTGTTAGAATTAATTGCTGATTCCTTTTTGTGATTTTGTTTTAAAACTCCTAAAGATGATTAACAAGCAAGGTTTTTCACACCACTTACATCTGTAATGTCTCCAGGTTCACCTTTCTGACCCTAACAAAGACAAAATAAACAGAAAAACAAGAATTATCATAAGAAAGCATTTTGTTCTTAATATCTGTCAGTTTTCAACTAAACATGCCCCAAAATTATTGTCTGATGAGTTACTGTGTAAAATTAAGATTACTGCCATAAAAATAGTGACTGAATGTTTCCTCTGTGGTGTAATTTAGCCTCATAAACACTCTGTGTGCACAGGAAATAACTATTATTTATCTAACAGCACTCTTCCACATCAAAGTCTCACATGAATCCGTAAACGACAGGGTCTTTCTGCAGCCCTGATTCAAATCCGGGACAGACATGGATGTAATTGCTGGTGAGGTACACACACACACACACACACACACACACACACACACACACACGCACGCACGCACGCACGCACGCACGCACACACACACACACACACACACACACACACACAAACACAGGTGTGTGAAATAGTAAAGATCTCTCATATGTCTCACCTTAGCTCCTGGTCCTGTTGGGTGTTTTTTTAAAGTTGAGATAGAAACAGACCACAGTTAGTGAAAGAATCAAACCAAACGTGCAACCTAAAATTAAATAACTGAACTTGTTCTGGAAGGCAGGTGTCATTTCCCTAAAAAGACTTTTCTAAAGACCACCACCAAATCATCGTGTTGTCACACAAAGAGCCCATTAGAATAAAACCGGTGTTAGCTGACTCACCATCTGAGCCCAAAAGCAAAAGCATGAAAGGTGCATTTAAAAAGTTAATGTCCAAAAGCAAGGAAAGCTATAAAATATTTGTCTTCCAGCAAAAAAATAAAATAAAATAAACAATTTACTGCAGGAAGAAGTTACAATTATCAGCAAGTTGAAGGTTATTCCTAACTTGTTAGTTCAACTGAGCCAATTTTACTAAGCAATCCTTCATAAGAGAAGGATTTAATCTGCCTCAGTTTGGATTGTCTGCACTATTTATAAGCTGGTTAAAAATGAAACATGTCACATGTTAGCTAAAAGCCTTGGATTTTCTACATTTTCCAGTTGTTAAATCATGCATTGCAAACAGTGACACCTCTGATTTCTTTTCATCGATGCTCCTCAGCTTACATTTCCAAAGCTGGCTACCTGAGAGGGTATACTGGGGTCTTTGTTTATCAGGAAGCCACGGTGCTTCGAAGGGGAATGAGCTACAGACGAAGAGCTGAATAGCCTCCTTCAGATAATCTGAACTCTCAGCAGAGAGTCAGGCTATTTTCTTGCCATCAGATCTGCAGAAATCCACAGAGAGGATATAGAGCAGAAATGTGAAGCCGTGTCTGCACGACTGAGGTATTTCCTTAATCACTCCCACATGCTTTCATGACACTCAGGGAAGTAGATTATTTAAACAAGATGGGGCCAAGGTGTGCCGGCAGTGGAAAAGTGCCGGTGAGATTAGCATTTCTCTGAAATCTCATCAGATGTGTCACTGTTGTTGTGTGTTTATCATTTGTTTGCTTTAGGGAGGGATAAAAAAAAGCACTCAAATCAAAAGCTAACAGGGGTTAAACAGCTTTGATTTCCACCAAAATGCGCAGATTTTTTTCTCCTTCCAAAAAAGAAAACAACATGATCCTGTCCAGTAATTTATTTATGAAACGTGTGAGATAAATAAATTACAACCAGAAGATGTGGGCTGGTCAGCAACGCAGATGGGGCAACACTCTCCAAATGGGATCTCAGGTTTGGGGCAGTCTTTTAGCTCCTCGCAGACAATTTCATCACACAGGACTGTTCCAGTGTCACACACACAGATGCGACAAGGCTCTGGTTTCCAAATGTCCTTGTCATTAAAACGCTGTCCATCTTGTTGACAGCTAAAAGCATCCTCTTCTGCTTAGAGATCACAGCGCCGGACACACAGAGGACCACACAGTTAGAAAGCAAAGGTGAGATTAGACATCAGATGTAAAAAATTGTTACACAATTGACCAATAAAGTGTGCAAAAATGATTCTTGAACTGCTTGTGCAGTTTGTTTACTCCGATGATTTAACTAACATATGTTCATTTTGAAAGGTTATATAAGGGATTGTGCATAGAGACTGTTTGCACAAAAGAAAAGAAGCAAATTGCTCATACCATCTTAAATCAACAAATACTTAAACTGTTGCAGCAATGGTGATCTAAAGCTGTTTTTTACAAGTTTCCATGCAACTTCTACTGTGGCAACTAGGTGGCAGTATATCACTACACAATCCTAGTTAAGCCGCAGGAAACCTCCAGTAACTCCAAAGCCCCCTAACTGGTCAATGAGCCCAAATTCCTTGGCAGGTTAACTATGGAGCAGGTTTACTTTGAGCAGACGCCCTAATTTACAGCAGAGAGGACAGACTTTTCCTTCAGTAAATGAAAATGTTTGATTTTTTTTTCATTCTAGGACCACAGCCTGGTGTACAAAGCACAAGGGGAACATGATTGAGGTGGGTCCTGTTTGAATGCAGCTACTGTATGCGCTCTAAATGACATCACACACAAACGTCTGGCAAATGAGGCTGAAGTGATGAGTAGCATCTAACCTAATTTTACAGTCTGGCAGATACAGAGGGCAGAACACCTGCTAAGAGAAATGTTCTGATTGGAGTCCATGAACCTGTGCAGAAGGGTGAGGGGGGTTGCAGCTGAAGAAAGGCCTAAAGGAAAAGAAAGACTGCTAGAAGTGTGAGAGGAGAAGGAGAGCAAGCACGGTAGCCGTGTTGACCTTTGAGCAAAGCTTATGTCTAGGTAACCTAACGGACCTCAGCAGCAATGAATGGGGTCTTTCTGGACGAGGACAGAGTGGACAACTCACAAGCGACTGCCTTATATAAACACGAGGTGTGTTTTAAACCCCACACGGAGGCCATAGCTGTGGCAGATGCCAGTTCAAACACATCAGGGAGAAGAAAATTGGGAGCTTTCAGGCACATTCCTGGAAGTTTTGATGTTTTACAGACCTGTGTGGACTTCCAGAGACCTGCACCTGTCCTTCCACACAAACTCTAATCCGTGGATGGAACAAATGCTCTTTAACTGATTGAACGTTTGAAAAGTCACTTCTGCTGATAAAGGAGTTACATTAGAGCAGAACCCACAGCTTTCTGTAACTCGTGATTAACGTCAGGAACTGATCACTAAAGACTCAAGGCCAGCAGTGAGGCCACTGTGCTGAGGTCACAATAAAACCTCTTTACTATTTCACCCTGGTCCCCCCCACCCCCCCCCCCCCACCCCACCCCTCATCCCCAACCCAAAGAAAATTCTTCATCCAGTTGGGAAAGAAGGACTTGCATTATATCCAAGTTCCTGTGTCTCTTAGGAGGTAACCTGACACTTCAAATTACTTTGGCACAACTATTTTCCATTTGTTCTCCTTCCTCTGAGAAAATACACCTTTTCTTTGCGTTAAAAGCTCAGAGGGTCTGACTTGGGCTGTGAAAAGTTATTCCCTCAGAATTCACTAAGTAAAGTATAGTCCTTTATTTTTCCAATCACCTTTTTTCATCCCTATGCTGCCTATGGTGGACGGAAAAACTGGGGACACTTTTGGACTCTGTCTGTTTTTAAAGATAAAATAAGCAACACTTTACAAAAACTTTAGATATGGCACAATTTTAAAAGAATGTGGACTTTGAAAGTTTTTTTTAAGAATTTTTCGTGTGTTTTAGCCAGTTTTTGCCTCAACAAGCCACAATTTGCCTGGATGCCCTCTGACAGAGATGGAATGTGAACACATTTCATCAAAAGCCCTTGAGCCTGACCACCTTTCACTTTCTTGCACATCCCTCCCCCCTCTCCTCTTCTATATCAAGTGGATCTGCCGTTTAAAAGGTCGTCAAGGCCCCTGAAGCACCCTACAGGTGTCAGGCAGTTCAATTTCAAGAAAACGGGAGGTGGGCAGGAAAAAACACCTTGAGCTGCAGAGAACTGGAATATCAAAAATGTTTATTAACAAGACGCGACTTGGTTTTGATAAAATAACATTTTATGTACTTTAATTTAAAAAAGCACACCAGAAAAGTTCATATGTGAGCAAGGACATGAACTGATCCAATTATGTGACTTTGCGTAAAAGTTTCCAGCGTCTTCATCATTCGTAAGCGCGCACGGATCTAACAAATACTGAGTTTATCACATATTTAAGCATTGAATGAAAGAAGAAACCAATCTGAAGTTCTTGCATGATAAAGCATTAAAGCAATATTGATTTCCCTGGGTGTTAAATCTGCAGCGAGGTGATCGGATGCGAGCCAATTTCAAGTTCAGGTTGTGCGTAAAGGTGAGTTGCGTCACAGAGAAGGGGGAAAGCTCCCCGCGCACACTTTAAATAATGTTAAATGTCTTTTTTCTTCTTCAGGGAAATAAAAGTGTCACTTACGGTCATAATCCTGGCATCTCACAACGGCTAATAGACAAACTTGAGTTGCTGCAAGTAGCAGTAGAGTCCTGGAATCCATAAAGCTGAACATGTCTAAATATTAGACATGCGGGACCCTTGTGGGAGGAAGAAGGTGCGAGTGGAGCGGAGCTGCTCTCAGTGTTTTACTGATTTATGTCCCCAGTTACAGAAGCCGGACCATTCAGCATTCACCCTTCCTAAAAAGTCGAGGGGGGAAATCCAGTGGCAGGACCCAGACCTGCAGCTCCAAGCGCTTCAAGCCAGACGCTGCAGTTTTATGACCCCGCTGCCTTTAATGAATCTTCGTATATTCCCCAAGTATCAGTCCGGCCCCTTTACCCCCCAGTCAGGCTGAAACCTGATTCCCTCCTTCCCTCCTATTCTGTCTCCCAGGTTCCTTTTATCCCAGTCCCAGACCACTCCTCTCCCCACGTGCTAAAATGAGCCCAAATAACACCCAAACTTCCTCACATGCACATTTCAGTCTGCCTACCCTTTCACACCTGCATGGTTTTTAGAACCACTTCATTACACATAAAATACACATTTTCTGCATTATGATGGTGACATCCAGCCTTTGCAAACTTATAAAACGTTTACACTCTGACTTTATTGATTTTATCAGCCTGCTTTAATCTTTTCTTGTTTATCTTAGTTGTTTGCATCAAAAAGAAAAAAAAGAAGAAAAAAACAGTAGCCTTGTTTCTGCTGGTCTGCATTAACTAACTCCATATAACCTAAATTATAACAGTTTAAACACATTTGTTTAGGATACTAACATTAAAAAACAAATCCCCTCAAACTAAAGCAACCGGTTTTTTTAAAGGTGTGGAACACTGAAAACTCATTTTAAAGGTTATTTCTGATTATAATCATTCACTCAGTTTTTCATGCTGCATAGCTTCTGAAATAGACGGTGAAATTCTTGAAATTGAAAAGTCTGACGGATCTACGTCACATTGTCACTCGTCATTCATGGACTCACCCATCATGACTCACAACAGAGAAGGCAGAGAACGTCTAACTAGTAGAAGATAACTATTAGCATTAGCTACTCCGCCACACAGCAGAACTCATCCAGGCTTGTGTTATTTGTGTAGATAAAACATCAACGTTGCAGAGCCGAGTCAGTGGTAGACTGTTGCTGTTTTCCAATCCAAGGCAAGATGTCACCGTGTTCGACAAGGCAGCATTTTTAGCTTGAGCATCATTTAAACTTTAGTCTACCATCACCATGGAAGATCCATCTTCTGATGGAGATCTGATGATCCTTCTCCATCAGGATATTAATGCACGAAAGATCAGAGCATCTCAAACTGGTTTCTTGAACATAACAATGAGATCACAGGACTCCAACAACCTCCACAGTCATCAGATTTCAATCCAGTCCAAAACCTTTGGGATCTGGTGGAACAGGAGATCCTCATCACGGATGTTCAACAACTGTTTGATGCCATCAAGTCAATGGACCAAGATCATTTTTTTACTCCAGAAGAGAAGATTGAACAAATGTTGGATTGTGAGCAAAAATTGGAGGTGTTACCCCCAAACAGGAACTCACCGGAAGATGATGAGAAATCTGAGATTTAACTTAAGCAGAAAACTCTTTTCTCCTCTTCTTTTTCCTCCACTGTCACGTTTTAACTATTGGGCCTACGTCTGTGATTCGAATTTTCATTGCTTTCCACCTGGTAGCAAAGATCTCAAAAGAGGACAGTTTGGTTGCATCATTTTCTGAGATTTCAGCTCTTCACAGGTTGTGACCTGTGACCTTTGACATTTGACCTTCTCACACTGCTTTGGAGCCAAGAGCAGCTGATTTGTCCTGAGTGGGCAGCAGAAGTTCTCTTCTCTGATGCCTTAAAGTCTAAGAATGATGCTTGACACATGGGTCAGAAAAATTCTCAACAAATGAGCTTGGTGGCTCTGTCAGGGTGTCATTTACTGAGTCTTGGTTCAAACAGATTCCCTCACGATCCAGAAAACAGAAATCTGTAATTAAACATCTCTAACACTTTCAGCCCCAAAACACAGGAACCATTAAAATAGGTATCCTTTGTGCTTTCTCTTGGGTGCTGTATTTTCTGGGTATTTTTGGTAGTTTATGATTGTGCTGCTAGGCCCTCTCCAATCCTGGGATCAAAGGTTAAATCACTGAACTGCCAGGGTTATCTCTTCACCAACTAGAATGAGAAGTAGTTTCTTATTTAGTTTTCAACCTTATAAATGCAAAAATTCTCATTCAGCTGTTTGGTTTTAGGGCATGATGGTGTTTTGTGTTTCATTTTAACCCCACGTGCCACTTTCAATAAAGATTTTTGAAGATGATTCCAACACAAAGAGCTCACTGTGGCTCTCAGAAGACTTGATATTACCTGCTTCTTAACTCTGGGCACATGCGTGATTTAAATATCAAGATTTGTTGAAAGTTAGTTGCCTGACAGCATGGCTTTGTTTCAGATCTGCAGACATCAATCTTGCATCTGCAAAAAGAGCCAGATGGATTTAAATTTATCAAAGATCCTGAGCTGACAGGCCTGAGAGTGAGACAATTAGACAACTGTACTTTAGAAATGAAGAAAAAAGGAAACACAAGATCTGCAAAATCTGAGCCAAATATCAACAACTATTTCTGCCAGTTAATGAGATTGTTTTCTTAAAAAAAGATCTCCTGTTGATCCTTAGATGACAACATGCAACATGCTTTTAAGAAGTCTGAGCTTCTTTAGAGCAGTAAAAAATATCAGAAATTATTGTCTTCATAGCTGTTTAGGAATGAAGTCTGTCTGGAAAGACTATCAGAAAGAAGAAAAGTAGGAGAGAGAGAGAGAGAGAGAGAGAGAGAGAGAGAGAGAGAGAGAGAGAGAGAGAGAGAGAGAGAGAGAGAGAGAGAGAGAGAGAGAGAGAGAGAGATAGATAGATAGATAGATAGAGAGAGAGAGAGAGAGAGAGAGAGAGAGAGAGAGAGAGAGAGAGAGAGAGAGATGTCTATGAGGACAGACGGTGAACAGAGGTGAAGAATGAGAGCGAAAGAGGTGAGGTGGTGGGTGTGTTGGAATGCAGAGGCACAGGAAGGAGGGGACAGCTGAGAGTGGGAGAAGGTGGGATACAGAGAGAGAAGGAGGGAGGGAGGGAGGAAGGATAACGTTTAACTGAAATGAGATCAGAAATAACAACTGTGATATCACTGACTGGGTCGGTTATGCTTCTCATGATGACTTTTCTGCCTTGATGCAAGTTTATGTTTTCTGAACGTAACTCTTCTTAGAGCATCTTTATCCTCATCAACACATAAATGCAATAAAGAACGAGGAAGATCTCAGAGAATAGACCCAAAATGATTCATGCAGCGCTGCTGAATCTTAACATTATGCTAAACTGAGAGTCAGTCACAATGTTTCATGTGACCAAATCTAACATTTAGTGGGACTAAAAAAGCCCATTAGCTTTCTGTTAGTTAGCGTGTTTAAGAGATATTTGGCATGTTAGTGGCATTGTTCTGACTGTTGGTTGCATTGTTCTGACCTGAAAAGTGGATTTTTGCTCCATAATTGTTCCTTAAAGCCAAAATGGCTGCAGACTTGTCCCATGAACTGGAGTGTTTATTGATGGGGCTTGAAAAGAGGCTGGGAACTTGTGCTCAGATATGTTTCCAGCTTGAAGACATAAACTGCATCAGCTAAACAAAGTGGGGTTTATTGATTCTTGACATTGAAGGAGAAATAAATCTCTCAGAGCTGTTAGGTCTGATGTTTTTTCATCTGTCTGCTTGGTAATTTTCATGCTGTACAAACGATGTGGAAATCTGCCTTGATTGTGATAATAGAGGGTAGAAAAAAGGGCTTTGGGGTTCCCAGCAAAGCAGTTGCATGTTGCTTTGGTTTAAAGAAAAGGAAATTTTCCTTCTTCTGTCACTCTTATTTCTTATTAGAGTTTAAAAAGGAGCTGCAAACGCTTACGTCATCATGTTACAACAGCAAGTGATAAAATTCCTTCAAACAAAGAATGTGAGTATTCATAGCCATTATATTGCAGCATGCCACACGCTCCCCAGAAAAGACAGTAAAACAAAGCCAGCAATTATTCTTCGGTTTGTGAGTTGCAAAACAAAGATTGAGTTACTGAAACAGGGAAAAAAGTTAAAAGGGACCGGTGTGTATTTAAATGAACATTTAACGAAAAAGAATGCTGAAATTGCAAGACAGGCCCGCAGCCTGAAAAAACAACATATGATACAAGCAACATGGACGAGGAACTGTAAAGTAATGACAAGACTAAATGGCACTGCCGAAGAAGCAAAAGTTGTGATGATACGTGAACTTAAAGACTTAGTCACAGGAGGGAGGGAGATCTCGGGAGAAGCGCAGAGCACATTTACTCCTGCAGGTTGAAGACCTCGCCAGGCTGAAGTCCACCAATCGGGGGGGGGGTTCACAGCATCTGTCTGCATTCCTTCGTGGGGGTTGTTGTTAGCATCTCGAGGCTGCTCTGGCGTCAGATTTGGATAACAAGACTTTGTTTGGGTCAGGCTGAGATAATTTTCCTCTCTGCCATCAGTCTTTACTGATCATTCCAGTCCTTCAGTGAAGCCAATTTAGGTTTAAACTTGTCCATACCGTCCGGTGACCCTCTCCGAGATGACATCCATTTTGCGCACTAATACCGGTATCGCAGCTAGAGCATTGTCCAGCTTACGATTAACCTCGAGTAGCGTCCCAGTCTGAGGTCTCCACACGGATGGTGCTTTCCGTGGGTGCGGGTCGCCCTCCAATTGCTCCCGTCTTCCTAAATTTCCAGAAAACCAGATATCCTCCCACACCAATCAGAAGAAATCCAGTGATCATCAGGCCGAATATCCACACATCTTCGACGTCCTCAATGGACAGCTGGCAGAGGCCTATGATCTTCCACTCCTTCCAGGAATCCAGCATATAGCCCGCCGGGTGTGTCCCTTGCGGGCAAGTGGGAGCCCCCTGCTCCGTTCTCATTGTTGAAAAAATCTTATCAATCGCGCTGAATGACCAATTTATCAAATCCATAGATAAAAATAGGGTTTTTCCAGAAGAAATGTAGAGAAGCGCTCTGTGGGCAGACAGGACAAAGAGCCTTGGGAAAAAAGATAAGGGAGCAAAAAGAGAAGCGTCCGTACTCTGCGAGTGCCAGGAAGAAGATGGCTGTAATGCTAGAAATTAGCATTTTCACTTTGCTGACCATCAATGAAAAAAACACAAGAAAAGTTTGCTTTTTCTGTCGACATCATGGCAGAGCCTGGAAGTAAGATGGCCTTGTTCGAGTTGAGCAGCGCCTCGCCTGGAAAACAGACGGATGCAGCAGGGGTGGGGGGTG